TAAGTTTTGGGTGCGCTAGTACTATTATGGTGTAAAATGGTCCACATATGCCTGATTGGGTTAGACTTTGGGTTGATGGTCAAGGATAACTTTGGAATAAGCTGCGCCCTCGTACCTCCGATAATTGTTTTTCTAACCCTGTCCAAGATGAAATGACGACGGCCTCATATGCTAGGCTGAAAAAGGGGGTAGGCAGGTAGGCTAACATACTGCGTTTTGACCTTTAATCCTAGTCTTTAGCCTTTCTATTTTTTTTTCTTTTTCTTTTCTTATTTCGATCGAGTCTTTCAATGGAGTTTATTCTTTCTTTACATAAACATAAAATTTAGCCCTACCATAACAGCCAGGCACGGGCGCTTGTTTCGTTTGCCCTATATGCCGTGGCAGTCCTCTACAAGACGTTCCCCGAGGCGTTCTACCGCGTCACCGGACTAATTGAGTAGATCACCTAAATAACGATCATATGATTATAGTATAATATGCCACTTACAAAGTAGATTTCCAACTTACCTAGCGAGATATTCAAATATCTACTGCTGTATATACCTTTTAGATCTACCAGAGTAACGGGTCAATATTTAAGATCCTCAAAAACAAGCAATTCAGTAGTCGATAGTGCAGTAAATCAGTACGTTGATTTCTGGAAAACTGTACATTGTACCTACAGTATCATCTATCAGAAAATCTTCGGATACATCAATGTACCTTTAACTAATACGATTAACGTTCAAGCGCTTTAAAGCCATTCGTGTAAACTTGCTGTATTCCTCAGCTACTCCTTTTCGTCTGTAGGCCTGGAATCTTTGATGTGCTGTTAACATCAAGGCTACTTACCTCCTCATTGTAAAATAGGGAAACGGTTTACGTTAGGTACGTTTATAGTTCTAACTACTACTCCTAGTGTAAATTTATTACCAAATTCAATCGGTATTTCATGTGAATAACTGAGCTACTATTGCCTACTACCTGATGTGGGCAATGCCAAATCCCTTTGACGCAATATTCAAGTCCTAATATTAGCAAATATACAACTCTAGAACGGTAAGCATGCCATTTTTAAACCCAAACCGAATACCTCATGAGGTAAAATGGTAACCGTTTACATATAACAGAGACAACCTGATTTGATGTCTGAACACCTTAGGTAACTATACAGAGCAAGGCTTCCCATTGCTTTACAACTTAAATTAATATAGAAATTTCTCTTTTTCTCGGCTCTACTTAGGGGTGAACATTGCTGTACAGTATATTCATGTCAACATGTCAGTATGTAATGATAGCAAATCCACGATGCAGGATGAGAACGAGAACTGTAACAGCATATTAGACTTATTACGAAATATTCCCTGTTTATCCGTGTCTTGTAAGTCTTAGATATATGCATCTAACTATAGAGAACACTACTTGCTAATCGATGCGGAAACCTTCCCCCATGCTTGAATATTCTCATCTTACCCAATCAAGCGAAAAAGTACTATATGCTACTAAGACGACTTTTAATGAATGTCTATAGATGGCTGAATCACTCTTCACTTAGTTCCCTATATCATCTTACGGGCTTCTGCTTGGCTGCTTTAGGTAGTTCATCTAGTCGCTAAAGTAGGTGAACCGGATATAAATTATATTAGGGAGATAAGAGCATACTTGAGAATAGTAGGCCGATTACCTAGCATTAAGACAACTAACTAGAGTAGTCTGCTAGCAAATGCATACTTCTGGTCTACATTGAAAGACCTTATGGGACGGATCGAATGGCAAGGCCCCTTAAGCAAGGGGACTTCTAAGGGAGACTTTCATTTCAGGGATGTCTTCCATAGTCACTATCATTCGAAGAGTCACGAGCACCAGCAAGGGATAATCGCTTATATCCGCCGAAGTGTAGCCCGATGCCTGGTATTGCCCGTCTCAGAATATGATATACGTACACCCCAACAACAACATCAGCTCTATGATTCTTCGGTCTTCTTTGCTTTCTGCGCCGCCTCGTACTCCCTAACCTGCTTAGACCAGCTGCAAGGTGAATTAGCATCGCGATACTCTCTCTACCTAGTCATGGTACGAGATCAAACGTACTATCGGCTGGGGAAGAATCGATCCGGCTCCGGCATCTTATATCGCACCTCTCGGTCGGCGCTGAGCTTCCACGTTAAGGCCGAGATACCCAGGATAACGCCCATGAAGACCGCGGTGTTCGCCTTCCAGTTGCTCGGTTGCGTGTACCAACCACCAGCCGGAGACCATACGTGCTTGGGGTAGCTAGTGGGAGGTTAGGTTCATTCATCGAGGTTCACATGGCGAGTAGGAGGGTAGGTTGTAGCTTACGGAACTTTAGGACCGCCACCCTAGGAAATATTAGTGACGCATAATCTAAAAATTTACCAAGCACTTACCATCTTGTCCGAATGTGCAAGGAACAACGAACAAATTCTTGTATGGGTTCTTGTATGGGGTCAATTGGGATAAATTGGGATCTGGTGATGGTACGTACGTCGGGAAAGTTGCGGGTTACGGGTTACAGGTTGCGGTTTAAACTGTTCGCCTACAGTGATAACTCCTTGCATTGAATAGTGCATTACCTATTAGTCCAGAATTATGATTCAATTGATTGGGGCTCGGGAGGGGTAATTGTTAAACCGATTATCTAAAGTGCCCACTGGCAGAACTGGGCATTAACGGCATTGGCAAGTGGCACGTGCACGGTTCCTATCATTGGTCCGTAGTTAATCGCCCGTAGCTTCAATTCACAGAAACTTTTTCTTTAGCAGACAAGACACGAGACCATTTACAGCAATTGTTTTACTCTCCGCCAACCGTGTCGTGTCTCAACCCGCCCAGCGCGTTGGCATGAGGTGATCTGCGCTATCTAAAATGAAGAGAATACGGTTGCACAGGTTATCGAGTCAATTACTCTCTACGACGCCCGCGAGGCCACCACCTAGTTCGACAAGGATATGTCGAGCCACCCAGACTTCCAGATTACAAGCCCCTCTATGTTGTCAACGGAGATGGCAGACGACAACATCCGACGTCGTTCTTGAAGAAATAAACGATACTGAAGGATCACCAATACTACCACCGGAGGAGGAACACATAGCACCGTTACCGTCCCCGCCTCCAGAGCGAGCCCTATACTCGGCCAAGCTTGCGGCTTTGCATGCGCGACTCTCTCTCTCCTCCAAAATTCCCTTACAGACTCTCGCCCGCGCCCTTATAGACCCTTCAGCCGACGCAGACCCCCGCTTCAACAATGCGAATCTTGCATTCGTGGGCGCATCCATCCTCCAGTACCATACCTCGGAATTCCTCATTACCAGGTACCCCCGCCTGCCCATGACCATTCTCTTCTCCGCCATGAAGGGCTACTCCGGCGTGCCGGCCCTGCACCAGATTGCCCGCGCCTGGGGTGTAGAAGCGGCCGCCGCGCCCGGCGAGGAGGTGGACCCGGGGTTATTGCAGTTTTCGCAGGACAAGCCGACGGTCATGATGAGCAAGTGGGGCTACGTACGTGCCGAGTCCAAGGAGATCCAGAAATACAAGTGGCGCCGGGGCCTGAGCAGTTCGGTCATGTACGACGATGCATTCGGTGAGATGGTAACGGAGCAGAGGCAGCCGACAGAAGAGGAAGACCCCGAGGTTAGTGCGGCGAGAAACACCAAAGACTTGGTCGTCGACAACCCAGTGGGGAATGCGAACGCCAACTTCGTGCGCGCGGTCATTGGCGCTATCTATATGTACTGCGGGCGGGATGCCGCCAAGGCCTTCGTGAAGGCGCACGTCCTTTCTCGCACGCTCGACCTCTCTAACATGTTCCAATTTAAGACGCCAACAAGGGAGCTGGTTAAGCTATGCGCGAGAGAGAACTTCGACGCTCCCGTCGCGAGGTTATTAAGCGAGACGGGTCGTATGAGCAGGACGCCCGTCTTTGTAGTGGGCATCTACAGCGGGCGAGACCTGCTAGGCGAGGGCGCAGCTAGTGGCCTCGACGAGGCGAAGATAGCAGCCTCCATCAATGCGCTAAAGGCGTGGTATCTATATAGTCCGGTTGACCCCGCGGTGCCGAGCGACACGTTTGTGGAGGGTGCCGCTCCGTATAAGCCGGTGTACGTTGATATCGGTGAGGTCATATCGTAGTCTCCGGTTTCCGAAGGGTTTCTACACGAGAGCGCGTACGGATTATCCGTTACGGAGAGAAAATAAAAAATCGTTACTGGATAATGGTACGGGAGGGGATCATACGCGGGGAAAAAGGGATGATGATACCTAGCTGCTACGGAACTCATGGGGGCGGATTCAGGGCCGGCATACCGTGTGTATCATTGTACTATATTCGAAAACCGCGAGCATAGATGGCCCATGTAGAACATACGAAGACAGCACCACCCACAACCACTCTTCAGCCGAGTGTAAATATCTACTTGCATGACTTAATTATTCCTATTTTTTTCTAAGTCCGTTTAAGTGTGTCCTCCCCCATCTATCTGGCCGGTAGGCAGTGTATTATGTATACATAAGGAAGTGTGCAAAAGGGGAAGGGAAAGAGGGGGGAGATTCAGTGGTTAACAGAACGATCTCGCGCAGCAAGTTAGCTAAAATGGTCGCCCTCCCCCAACTTATCTGCAATGCCCAAGCGTACCAGGCGCCTATATGCCTCCTTTTTAGCAGCGGCCTCACCTTCCTCGCGTAGCTTCTTCTTACGCTCGTAGACGGCACGTACGCAACGGCGGATGCGGTCCTTACCCTCATCGAAGTTGGCGCGCGCGAGCGCTACTGCTTTATCGACCTGCTCCGGGGTGTAAACGAAGTTCCAGGTGCTCATGTAGTCGCTTACGGCCGGGTTTACGCCGTCCACCTTCGGATTCGCTAGGAATGGTAAATACACTACGGTAATACCTGCACTAGGCTCCGTGAGCTGCCATGGCAACGCGTCGTCCGTAAGTGCCTTTGTGGGCGGAGGCGGCTCCGACGATCGCTCCTCGGTTGTACCCACCCAGACCGTGCAATAGCCCAAGTCCAAATCCACGGGATTTGATACGTCGTGCTTTGCCTTGGCGCTTAGCTCTTCAGGTTGGTGTTTGGCTAGGTTTTGGCTCTGGGCTTGTTGTGCCTTCTGTACTTTAGTCTCTGCGTCGGCTGGTGAGTCTGCTAGGGCTGCGTCCAGCTGTTGTTCAATTTTTTCTCTCGAGTCTGTTTCCCTTGGCCATCCAAGGCCAACGGGCCAGCCCTTCACGCCACGTTGGCGCGCGTACCCATCTGCTACTGACAACCAGTTATCCGTCTTGATATCTGCAGAGGCGTCGAATGCCACGATGATGTCGACATCTCGACCAGGTCGGAGTAGAGGGTAGATGGGTAGATTATTCGACATGCCAGCGTCCATCAACTGTATATACTCATTATTGTATATAGTGGTTGGTGTCGTGAACCGTAGCTTGCCTTCCATATTATACGTAAAATTAGGTATTTGTGCTGGATCGATCGGGTGGACTTTCTCTAAATCCTCATTATAACCGTAAATCATCTCATCGACTGTAGCAAATCCGGTCAACTTCTTAACAAGTGGTCGAATTTCTCGATAATAGTGGCTAAGAGTTGCACAGAAAGCACTGCCGAAAATACCCATCATGATAGGCATACGGACCTCCGGTAGATGGAAGCCATTCTCCTCTGGAGGTACGTCCTCTCCGTCATTAAACCGTCGACCAAGGGCCCAAGTTGGAATTCCGGCGTTAAATTCTTCACAGAAAAATTCATAGGGAGTTAGTTCGAACCATTGGAACCATGCTTCCTTCTTTGCGATCTCTTTTGCTTGTTCCGGACTGCCTTTCGACATATTCGCGGTTATTTCTGGGATTTCATGACGGACTGCGGTATAGATTGGCAGGGGGTTCTGTCCATACTTGATATATTCTCTCTGACTAGAGAGCTTGAAGTCTCGTTCGTTAACACCGAGCTCGCCTTTTGGCACTAGGAGCCTTGCTGCTAATAAGATACCATATACGTCAACTAGCCCGAAAGCTGCTTTCGGGTCCCCTTTCAGTTTCTCAACTACACTGCTTAGAAGTAGTTTATTGGTCGGAGAAGATGTTACGGATGAAAACGCAGCCGGAGGATATGCGATATGAACTCCCAACCTTGCTTTTAAGTGGTCAACGACGCGATCAAACCGGCAGTCGGTCAGAGACGAAAGGTATAGAGCTTGCATCCAGCATGAACCACTGACACCGGAAGTGTAGGTCACGCAGTCGAATAAACCATCTTCCTGGGTGGCAAGGAGTGAGCCCGTGCCTGCGACTAAGGCTCTCAGGCCACCGCCAGAACCGCACATAGCTATTGTAGGAACATCTTCAGGGTTAATATCCTTCTCGTCTAGGCTGAGATACTTGGCCAACGCCGCTGTCGCGATTTTCTTGCGACGAGCTAAGTACTCTTTTTCATCGTCACAAAGCTCGTCTGAGACGCGCACCTTGGCGGAATACTGAATTTCAGGATGAATAAAAGGATCATGAGCCTCTTGCCATATCTGTTTAGCTAACGACCCGTCTGCCATGGAAAGCTCGCGTTGGAGTTTGCGGATCTGTGCGGGAATAGCCTTAGACCAATCAGGAAGTATCAGCTCGACGATGCGATCAGATAGGGAAGACCATTCAATATCAGTGACATTTGAAAAATCTTCAAACCGGCGGGCAAAGGCCGACCAAGCGGTCTCGTCGGTTTTATGTTGTGAACCATCTTCGACGTCGTTGGGAAATTTCTTGGCCTGTTCAATACGGCGGGCCTGGCGGAATTGTTCGTCTGGATAGAGCGAGTAAATAAGCAAACCACCTAGTAGGAATAAAGCCACGGGCACGACTATAAGGGGACCTTTACCAACACCGGTCTCCTTCTGTTGCTGTTTTGGGGAACTAAAAAATCCACGTGGGAACTGGTTTTGCTGCAATTGGGATGATCGACTAGAAATTCTGGATGCGCCGCTGCGGATCGGCGGCAGGGCTAATCGAGGTGTTCCATGGAATAGTCTGGTTAAATGTCTTGCATAGCAAATTGCTATTAGTTGAGACCTCCGGTTGGATCTCATAACTACGGACCAGTACAAGCCTTGCTACCTGTATGGCGAGTTGGAACCTGCAACATGACTTCCGGACTTGAATAAGGGCTACCCTTGATATCTTAGGGTGGGAACGTTAGAGTTTCGGATGTCTTGGGTAGGTAATTGTACATAACGGAAAAGTACCTAAGGTTAAGTCGTTTGCACTTGGCCTGCTGTTATGGTGACATCATATGATTATGATCTTTTACTATCTCATTTACTAATTTACTAGGGCGACTTTTATTATAGTGTACGGAATAGTTCGTATTCGACCTGATATGCATATAAGCCCAGCTCTAAATTTAATATATGCAATTAAGCATATACATACTTCGTATATTACAGATCAATCTTATCGCCTTGATTGCCCGCTCTTTCTATCATGGTGGAAGAAATACCGACGAGGAAGGCACAGTGGAATATGTATATATTGTAATCGGTTTATGGAGTTGCCATAATAAACTTGGAACTTCCTAGAGTTTTCCTTAACGTACTGAAGAAGGTAGCATTCATTATGTACCTAGTTACATGTAGTATTCTTAGAGAATCAAGTCGTAACTACGGCACCTTCTATAGAAGACTCGGCTTGCTACTCTTAACTACATATCATCTTATTGTTCCTCGGAATTTAGTGATTCATAACGGATTAAGTTGAAATATCATAGAACGGCTTATGTGTATTAATACGACGGAAGAACACACTTAGGTTATCCTATTACTATGTCGCTACACAGGTGGTCTTTGCCCAGTAGGGCTTTTTCCCGCGAGAAACCCAAGGATGGCGACCCAAACCACCGCACCAGATTCCCAACTATACACATTGGTGACACTATTACTCGTCGACGCGCGAATATCTCCTCCGCCTTCGCAAATTTATTTGAGAAGGATGAGAATTGTACGAATACTGCAGAAAATAGCTGCGCTTGTCTTACTAGCAATGATTTGCGGCCCCTTTCCTGTATTGAAAATATAACGTCGAGTACTAGGTCTAAAGTGACAAAACGTGACGATGGATCGGACCGAATTGGCAAAGCCGCCTTGAAAATGTCTGGTGTCATTACCCGTTTTCCCTCTGGACAAGAGGTATCTCTACAAGAAACATTACAGGAGAGCAACACACGCAATCCGTTCAATGACCACAACCATGTTAAATCATCAGAAGGGAGTGCCTCGGATGATGATTCACCAACTTCACTTACTAGAGTACGCAGCGCTTCGTCATCTTATCCGTCTGAAGGCATCCGTTCTCCGCCAGACCATTGTGCTTCGCCGCGGTTGGATACTTGGACAGAAGACTTTATAGCTGACGTATCTCACTACGGCACATATCCATTGGGAAATCCCCCGAGCAAATCCAGCGCCTCTACCAATGATGTGTCAGTATTGGGCAATAGAGCTGGTAAGTGTCTTATGGAAGAATTAGCTGCAGCTGGTGGAGTTTCGGATACAGATACAAGAACAGCGAGTAGGGGTTATACCCCGAGACCACCGCTTTCAGATGTTGCTTCCGCCAGTTGTCCACGAGAACAGCTAGACAAGGACTACGACAGCGATCACTTTGCAACGGCAAGACAGGAACTCCTGGATGTATCACAGAGGGCTATCTTGTCTGTACTAGATGGTCAAGGCCCGAGTACCTCAGCTATCCATGGCAGTTATCCTGACCTTGGATTGTCTCACACTAGCTCATCCGACGAGGAATTTCCATTTCGGTCGAACCATACAAGTTCTATGGATCACCTTCGTAGGAGCGCGGAGACATGCAGGACACACTTTCCTAAAAAGATACACTGGAAGAATCAAGGCAATACTTATCATACTATGCCAGCGGCTATTGCGCGAGACGGTTCCCGACGAGGCCGACTCCCTGAAGTTTCGCCTCCCTTGGCAAGTACGCTGCAACCTGGGTTCCATTATAGGGAATCCAATTCATCTTCTACCACACTAGTCAAACGAATCCAGAAGTTCAAGTTCAAGAAGTGGATAAAAAGGGTATGTATAAAAACCAAAGTGCGGTTTGATAACGCTATAAGCATAGAAGCGGCTCCGCATGCATTAGGTAGGCGGAAGTCCAAGTCATACAGATCGCGGAAGTCAAAAAGGCAGGGTGGTGCCTACAAGGCGAAAGCAAAACCGACCAAGAGTCGTTGGAAGTCATTCAAGACGACAAATAAAACAAATAAAAGTACTCAGGGGAGGGAGGGGATGGCACATCGATTCATGAACTCACTTAGACCAAAGCACAGCATACAGTTTCCCATACGAGAGAAGTCTAAAGCTGAGCACAGAAGAGTACAATCCTGTCCACCTTGAAGGTAACTAACCTAATACAGTATAAACATTCATGTTCCTGGGAGGCGGTTTGATTGGTCTGGTCTGGTGCTATCACGATATTATTGCAGATTGCATCTGTCTCTCCACCAAAGAGTTCATAGGGCGAGTTAGGGTCCGTTTACAGGACATCTGCTAAATGCCCTCTAAGCTTGACTTATGAAGTTTCTCTATAGCTATCGCCTATAGAGTAGATGTACCAATAATAAAATATATTAAGAATAGTCCTTCTTATACAACACGAGTACCGTGAAGCGAAGATGTCATACTATGGCTATCTTAAGCCATGGGGTTAATGGGTGACATGTCATCTGCTTCTGGAGAGGGAGAAATCTCGCGAGTGTTCAAAGCTGATAATTTACTCATCCCTAAATCAACACACATTCGTGGTAGCTAATTAAAGAGACAGAAAAGTCTTTAGATAAGATATATACTTAATGTCTAGTCTCATATGGCCGATTTTGTTACCCTAAACCATTGAACCCCTATATGCCCCTTTTCAACGAACGGTACATTCTAAGTCTCATGCAACCTACCTCGGACCTGAATCACAAGGTTAGGTAGCTACCTAAGTAGTAAGTACACGGTAATAAATAGGGGCTAATAAATACGGGTGGAAGTTTCCCTTGGGAATCAGTGCCGCCTATGTCTATGATGTCTCGTCATGCCAAAGCCCCAACCATCTATCGCGCAAGAGTACGAATTAGCAGCAGACCACAGCTCAAAGGTAGGTAGGTACCTTAGGTAGATAACATAATATACGGATTAAAAATTGACAGAGACAAGAACTCACATTGACTAGCCACGTGGATGTCCAGATCCAGCTCGTCGGCCCAGTGCCACACCAGATCCGGATCCTTGAGGAACGCGCGCCCGACAATAACAGCATCCGCGGACTTGGCGTCCAGGATGGCCTGGGCCTGTTTGCCCGACGTGATCTCGCCCACGGTGCCCACGAGCGTGCCGGTGCCGGCAACCGCCTTCTTGATGGCCTCTGCGTGGGGCACCTGGTAGCCGGGGCTGGCGACGATTTTCTGGCGCGCGTCGGTGCCGCCGGCCGAGACGTCGAGGAAGTGCACGCCGCGGCGGGCAAGCGCGTTGGCGAGGTTGGCGGCGTCGGCGAGGGTCCACTGCGGGAGGCTGGGGTCGTGCTCGAGGTAGTCGGTCGCGGGGATGCGGCAGAAGATGGGGAAGGTGCTGGGGACCTCGGCTTTGAGCAGGTCGACGACCTCGAGGAAGAGGCGGATGCGGTTGGCGAAGGAGCCGCCGTACTCGTCGGTGCGCTTGTTGGAGGATGGGGAGAGGAATTCGTTTAGGAGGTAGCCGTCTGTGGACGTGATGTTAGGATTTGTTTTGTTCGAAGTCTCGTTCGAGATGCAATGTACTTACGTGCCCCGTGGACTTCGATGACCTGCTTCTACGTTAGAACGGTCCACTAACAATTTATTTTATTTTATATTTGTGGTCGAGTTTACTTACATCTACACCGGCCTTCAAAGCACGCCGGACGGCAGCGACCCAATCCCTCTTGAACTTCTCGATGTCTTCTTTACTTGCTTCCTTCGGCACGATCGTCTGCGCGTTGTAGGCCTCTGGGGATGGAGCAACGACATTGCTTGGCCATCCTTCCGACTAGATGATGTGTTAATAATTCAGTTAAAATATTATTAACGAGGCTAGATATCGGCATACATAGTCACGCGCCGCGGCTTTTCGGTCGATCCATGGCGCGACAGTGCTTGCTTTCCGCCCAGCATGGGCTAGCTGCACGCCGAACTTCACGCCCTGGCTGTGGGCGAAGTCGACGATTTGCTTTAATGGTGCAATATGTCCGTCGTCCCACAGGCCGACATCTTGGGGTGAGATGCGTCCTTCAGGCGAGACAGCAGTTGCTTCTGTCAGGACTAGGCCTGCTCCTCGAGAAGCAAAACTCCCGAGGTGGACTAAGATTCGCAAGGATTAGCCCTTTCTAGAGAAGGAATGAAGCTGTTATTTGTTGGACTTTGGACTTTGGACTCCAGACTTCTGAAATAGTGAAAGAAGAGGGGGGCAAATTATAATCCAGTACCGTGATGCCACATGGTCATAAACCCGTCTCTTGCGGAGTATCTAGTTGATACAATTAGCTCCATCCATAATGGAGTGAGTATGATAGAGAAACTTACTGGCACATTGGAGAGACGATAATGCGGTTTTGAAGCTCAATTCCATTGATCTTCAGGGGTGAGAAGAGGGAGCCTTCCGGCTGCAAATCCCAAGGGGTTCCTGCAGGAGGATCCTGAACGGGCGTATAAAAAGGGACCTTGATGATTTATTAGTAAACCTGTTTACTGGTCGTGTCTCATTGTTAGGGTCTTACATTCGGAGCGCCGTAGTTGATTAAATTCTTCTCAGTAGAGCAAGGCTCTCCTGCTACAGGAGCTTGGTCAGCTTGGACTACCTTTTCGGCCATCTTGAGTAAAAATACAAAAGAACAACTAGGAATGGAGAGGTCTTTTGCCCATAATCAAGACCAGCAGGTTCAGAGTTGAGCACTTTATACTCGAACCAGCCCTACATCGTATAGCCGAAAGTTATAATACATCTCCCTCCCCGCAGTTGTGTGTAACACCTGGTCTTACATTATCAATTTGAATATATTTGTAGATCTTGGCATGTCTTCACGTTCCAATAAGCATACGTCTTTGGTAGGTAAGCTGTCTCTTAGTAATGCCCATACATGAGAATCCTTTAGATGCAACAGGACCGCATAACCCATGTGTCATTAACACGACTCTAGTAGCCCTATCAGCAGTCAATTGGAAGTTGTCCAATAATTACTGTGGAGTATATCGAAATAGCCTCATACTATTTCGTGTCTCTCCATAAGTGACTTAGGTATGTAAGTGTGAAATCCTATCACTGCTAATATTACAATATGCGTTAATGGAACTCTACTTTTGTAAACTATTATTAGTCCCACCGCTAATTTATAATACCTACCTAATCTTCCCAGAGTATAATGTGTTCGATTCCTCTCCTGCACTTAGAATCTCATTCTTGTTATTTCTTAACTTCTCTAGTCCGTTCGGCTCTCCTGCAACAGGTCCTATATCGCTTGGACCGCCAGCTCCTGAGTAACACTGTCCCCAATGTTTCCTCCAGGGTTAACGAAAGAGAACCGGACTTATTAAAGGCCTTGGAACTATCACCATATCGGTAGTATACTGCAAGGTGAATACGAGAAAAAGTGGAGAACGAGTCAACTTCATGGATAGATCTGATAGAGAAGCTTTTGACTGAATAAGCATCTTGCAGGATTAGTTTCGGTTAGGGTTTAACATAAGTTCACGATGAATTTCATATTATGGAGATCAGTGAAATCTCATATTCAGATATTTCGAACGCTCTGACGCTGTTATTATATGGATATAATAGGGCATATCACCTGATGGCACTATCTGCTATGTACTACCAAAGCTAGTGCAATTATACCGATTCCCCGGTGGCGCAATTGGCTAGCGCGTCTGACTGTTAAAACAACTGTTATCAGGAGGTTGAAAGTTCGAGCCTTTCCCGAGGAGTTCCTTTTTCCTTTTTTTTCAAGGGAGAAAGAGATTTGATATGTTTTGTTTTGTTATGCGATCCACTGACTGGTTAGGACTGGTTGTATTTGAGTGATTATATGACCTGCTTTTCTACGTATTTAACATCTCCCGATCGCGCGTATATTCGGCTGCAGACTCGAGCGTTCAGGGTTGCTTGTAGAATATGCTCGTGTTACAAGATATGTATATACTTTATATATTGAAGAGTGCTGTCGGCCAATATAAAGCTTATATCTTGGAACAATGTAAGGAAATTACTAAGTAGGAAGAAATATTGTCCATATTTGCTAGGTCGCTCTACAATATTCTAACAGTTTATCCAAGCAGAACTCCGTATTCCTAAACTACCTATTCAGTATATAGGCAGTTAAGTTTTCAATCGAATCAACTTTGATTCTGAATATCTCCCCTAGACAGTAAATATATTTACTAGATATTATAAAGAGAGCAATGTAGCACGAGGGCGTTCACCTATCTACTCTAGTAGTACTATGCTATGTACTTAAAACTTAGCTTCTATTTCCAAGCTCTTCTAATATCAAGGCTCCATTTACTATCAATGTCTGATGTCAGTTTTCTTTTAAACGAGGCCACCTGATCCCCGGAAAGGTCCTAACCAAAGATTTCTCTTTTAGGTAACCGATGACTTATCCGCTACAGATATGGAGAATGTCAGAACTACCTGACAATACCTCATCACCTATCTTTGCGCTCTATTCTCGAGACATATATTACAAGTCCTCATTTTCTTTCCACTTATATAATTGCTTTTCCTTCACCCGCCTTGTCTTCGCTCTTTCTTATCTCCTCTTTTTCTTTTTTCTCCTCCTTCTCTCCTTCCTTCTCCTTCTCTTCCTCCTTCTCTTCCTCCTTCTCTTCATCTTCCTTCTCCTTCTCCTTTTCCTTTTCCTCTTCCTTTTCCTTTTCCTCTTCCTTCTCCTTCTCCTCTTCCTCCTCCTCTTCCTCCTCCTCTTCCTCCTCCTCTTCCTCCTCCTCTTCCTCCTCCTCTTTCTTCTCCTTTTCCTCCTCCTCTTCCTCTTCTTTTACCTCCTCATTTCCCACTTTTTCTTTCTCCCCTGTCCTCTTCTTTTTTCTCTCAGCCTTCGCATTTCTTTTCCTCTCCGCAGCATCTTGGCGAAGTTTCTTCTGTTACACATGGAAATATATTAGCTAAGCGATACTCATAAAATTCTGAGGCTGGAGGTGAGTATTCCTAATGGGATAAGGATAAGGTATAGGTATCAATATCTAACGAGGGACCCTTACTATACGCATGTCGGTAGTTTCCATTATCCAGCGCATTGCGACTTTATTCATCGTAAGCGTACCAGGCGTTATTTTTAGATTGCTTTCTAAATTCCTGAAGAACTTGAGCTTCATCTTTCTCTTCTTCTTCGAAAAGGAAACCCAACCAGAACTCTGAGCCATGCAAGTGGCATGATGTATTGCCTCTTCAATGGTGGTCTCGGGGATGTCCCCGAGGACGCTCCCGAACTCACCGTCGATTTCTAGTGCTTCTTCATTTGCATTGTTGATACTCTGAGTGGCTGGTCCATTCTTCTTCTTCTTCTTCTTCTTCCCTGTCTCGTTTTTTGTACTGTCGTATTCTATCCACGGCTCTACAATATGCATAGGAACGTCAATGTCCACCCATGTATTAGGGCTTTCAGATGTGCTCGTAGCCGTGATACTCTTGCCCCCATCAGCAGTCAAGCGCTTGCGGATTTGGATATTGATATAGCTGTCCTTGAGAGGCTTTACCCACTTGGTGCCACCAGGCGCCTCGTCATCGACGTCCATTCGCGCCGTCGGGCAGAATAGAAGTGCCTGTCCCGTCCGAAGACCGACTATTGTACGAAAAAGTGAATTATTGCTCCCGGGATCCTGCGTGTTAGCTCCGGCGAGATGGTTTTTGAGGACCTCATACCAGCTCGGGGAGAGGAATCGGTGAACAAATGTCGCATTAGCCAAGTCGATGAGCTTAGGCGATAGCGTAGGCTCCTGCGTAGCTATTACCACGCGTGTCCCAGTATGCCTTTGCTGGCGGATAACCGAGACTAACTCATTTGTGAGGACAAGCGCCTCGCCAGATTGTACCAGAAACTGGTTACGATTAGTTCTCTTTTAATTTCTTAAACCTTGATTTTGGGGTTTTTTAATTATGACATTACCTTATGAGCCTCATCCATCGCTACAATACGCCCGCATTTATTTCTCCCCTCGAGAAATATAGAGAGACAAATCGAGAATAGCGTACATGCTTCATCTGAACTGATAAAAGGGTCACTCAGATCAACGATAGTTAAAGAGCCCGGTTGAAAGGCCCAAATATCCTCCGATGACCGCGCTGGCCGGGTTGACTTTGTCATCGACGAGGGTGCCATGAAGCTATCCAGTAACTGAAGACGGAGGTTTAGAGGCATCTTTTGTCCTTTCATCCACGGAACATCAGCAATACGTTCCCGAAATTTCGAATAGGTGAAAGACGATCCCTCCATGGCTATCTCGCGAACGATGTCCATCACAATCTCCATATATAGTGGGGCTTTGTCAGTTGTAGGGTCAACAGCCATGAGCTTTAAAATTCTCGAGGCATCCAATTGGTGCTCTTCGAGATAAACTATAATAATAGTAAGTCAGTAACCACATCTTACAGTAAGATTTTTAGAGGGCTAGGTAAGTCTTGACAGCAGTAACTCTCGGGAAGTTATCCAGTCAAGGAAATATTAGCTCCGAAAGACAACCAGGGAAAAGGGAAAGGAAATTCTCAGTCACATACGGGGCACAACTTTCGGCTTTGGGCTGTCCGGAGCTAAGCCTGGAAGATTGCTATACAAGCGCTTCATCGCCCAGATGTTGGATGGAGAAACGAGGACAGTTACTGGAATACCTGCGGAACATAAATAAGCCGCCTCGCACACCTGGGCTGTGTTGTAGTTTGCGTGACTGTCGTAGTGCATAACCATGCCTGCTAGTGGGTAGGGAAGAGCCCCGGCATTATTCTGGGCAACGAGGGCATTTTCTAAGAGGCAGGATAATGTGTGGCTCTTCCCTGCTCCTTGAGAACCACAAATGAAAGCCGACCAAGGTATATTGACATTACCAATGACGAGGTCATCCTCTAAAGAGGTGGCGGCTTTACCGTCTCGACGACTACCAATCAATCCGTATTGGGGAACCAAATCCGAGTCCAGTTCGCTCGGCGGTAACTCTGAGTGGATAAATTTATCGACAGCAGCTGTGAATATCGGAGTATTCCTGAAGCTTCGAGCCAGCTCTCGGTGACGAAGACTTAGATCTTGCTGCTCATTGACAGCATCACTATCAATGAAGGTTAGCAGCTTAGAATACTCCGATGCTCTGGGGTTTAAAGTCTTTGTTTTGGGGATTGAAAAGTTCCAGAAGCTTTGAGAAAGCAGCTTTTTGCTATTGAGGCCCCTATAGACTGCCAACGATCTGTTGGAAACCCTCGTATTTAAGCGCATCGATGTTAGTAGATGAAGCATATTGTAAGGTGATTGTTTTCAGTAGTATAGTGTTGTATCACTGTCGATATCAGGTATCAGGTATCAGGTGTCAGGTGTTAGACCAGAGGTCTAGAGGTCTAGAGGTCTAGAATTATAAGGCTGCCAGCTTAAAAACCAGCCCCTATAATCCTCAGATTGCCAATAGCAATTATCAATCACAGCTACGCAAACGAATGAGAGCTTCACGCTTCTATACGACCGTTTGCGACGGCTGGATTTCACACAAATTAAGGCAATTTATGATTCATGTTGCATTTAGGTACCTCTCAAGGTAGATTCTTGATATAACATTTGAAGGCCCACGGGCAGCACGTAACGTTTGCAAGAAAGAAAAAAAAAAAAATTTAGTACGCGCCACAGAAGCGCGCCACAAATCTTATTTCTTCTCGGATATACCTAGGTACATCTAATATTATTTTCACCCGATTGATGAATAATGGAAGTAGCTACCTGACCCACCTATTAAACACATACAGTCTTAAAGTATTGAAGCTATCGCCTAGCCTAAGAAGCACAACAACTAACTACCCTAGGTTAGGTTAGTCAAATATTGATAGAATATAAATATCGTGTAATTCTACAACGATAATATGAAGCCAAAATACTACATAATGTACCTACCTACTAAGAGAAATCAGGCTATACAAAAAGGAAAACCCCAATTTAATTATAATCATTCTCCTTAAGTTGATGTCATTTATTTTCCCATTTACGTTTCAACCCGGAAATTCTCAATCTTTTAACAATATCTCAATTTTTCTTGTAGCGTTTAATCATAACATCACCCCGTAACCTCGAAAGTATCCTTGATAGTAGGTTGTTGAAGACTATAGGAATGTGTATCATACTAGTTGTATGTCGTGACTAAGTACCCACCTCATAAAGGCTTGGTGCATTATCGCCGATGTCTGCCTAGAATTGGGCCACGCATTGCAGGGTCGTTGGTGCCACAGGATATGCGAATTATATAATAGACTTACACTAGACGTGATCTAACCATGTCTTAACTTGCACTTCTTATTGTATCCGTTCGGAATCAAGTAGTACGTTACTATCAGTTACTCTATACACTTCTATACGATGCCAGTTCCTACAGTGAAACTCTTCTCTCGGCAGGAACATGGCCACCTATTACCGGCCATTGCTGCTATTCATGCAGCTTGTATTGTGCATGACCAGACTATCGCCACGTTTGTCCCGCCGCTAGATGACTCAAAAATTCAGAAGTTCTGGGAGGACATAGCAAGAGAGACTGATTTGGGAACACGTTTTATTTGTATTTTGCTCAACGAGTCTGAGCCAGGCACCAAGGCCAAGGAGCTTGAGCTTGTAGGAGTTGTTACGCTGATCATGCCATTCAGCGAGACTGGGTCTTTCCGTGGATTCGTGGAAAAGCTTTTTGTCAGCCCTACTTATCGAGGGAGAGGTGGAGCTAGAGCTCTGATGCGCCACCTCGAAGCTGAAGCATTGAAGAGAGGCAGGACCTTAATGGTATGTACTAGTATACCCAAAGGGTCTTCAGAGTCTTCAGTAACTGACGCGCATATAGTTACTAGACACAGAAATTGGGAGCCAAGCCGAGAAAGTATATCCGAAGCTGGGGTATACGGAGGTGGGCAGGATCCCTAGATACGGTATCAGCCCCGTAGGAGGACTAAAAGACGAGGTGTTCTATTACAAACATCTACAATGAAAAAATGTTGTACCTAGTTGATGAGTTACCCCTTTTTCGGGTACTTTAAGAACCTAGGTAATATTGTTTCTTGACACTTGCCTAAGCCAGTGCATCTCACGTCTATGGGATATTTATCTTAGATTAGGACGATCCAAGTTGATCAGCATTGAGTCGCCGAAACCACTTACTGGGTAGAATCTAGAGACCCTCGCTAAAGGCATAGAACGGGATTCATAAAGGAGAGCCCTTCAATGCCGTTGATGATCACGAAAGTTAGCTTAATCGATACGTCCCTCTAATGTTAACAAGGGACTAAGCAAGCTTGTCTAAATAACATAGTACTTGTATTTTCGCCAAGCTATTATATTTGACGCTATGTTCTATAAAAAGAATTATTTGTAAGTATAAACATTAATATGCATGACTCAGAGCCTCACCCGAAGAGTCCCGAACCTGACCCGTGATCAGCCACCAGGATGCTCAAATCACTTGACTATATGCCGGCTAGGAACGCCCTTCCGCTTTTCTCCTCAATTTGGAATCCTACTGCTCCTTAACCGCATAACATCGTGTAAATATGACAATCCCAAACTACCAGTGAACCGTCTTTGGAACAGTTGTCATTGGATGAGGCTTTTTCTCCTAAAATCCGACCCTCCGAGGTGATATGTTACGGAGTAGATCATTTATCACAATTGGAATTAACGAGGGAGTCCTAGTCGTCACGCACAGTGTACTGAAGCTTTCTAAAACAGCTACCCCTTAAATACCTGTTAGTGAATCGAGATATTTAACTTATAGCCATTCCCTCCGTATCCTATATCATATTTGAACAAAAGTATATTCAACTACGATTCTAGATATACCACCAAACCAATCCATCATCACTTGTAATGGCATCTCAGAAGCCCGTTATCGTGTTAATCCACGGCGCATTCTTTGCGCCGGTGCACTACCGGAACTTGATCGAGCCCCTGCGCTCTCAGGGATATATCGTGCTGAGCCCGCCAATGGCGACAACGGGTATCGATGACTCCGTCGCGGGGAAGACCTACGTCGACGACGTCAAGCGTATTCTCGAGAGTCTTCTTCCCTACTTAGATGAGGGTAGGGAAGCCGTGGTAGTCGGTCATAGCCAGGGTGGAATTGCCGCCAGTGCCTTAACTGAGGGCCAGACCATTGAAGATCGCAAGGCTAAAGGCCTAAAGGGAGGCATCAAATCAGTTATATATCTCACTGCTCTCGCCATACCGACGAAGGGCGAAAGTTTACTGGGTATGCTGGGTGGCACGCCCCCGCCAATCTATAAAGCTGAAGTAGGTTGCCTACCTAACCTTATTGATTTTTTTTTTGGGCTCACCAAAATATTAATATGCGTGATATAATAGGGACCTTTCTACGTCCTTACCGAGGCTGCACTGTCCCCCAAGAATAGCGATATTCCACTCCCCAAAGAAGAGCAGATAGCGTTGGCGAGGAGCTTGGTGCATCAGAGCAGGGCGAGCATAGAAGCCCCCGTTCAATTCACTGCGGCCGACGTCACTGTCCCCAAGACGTATATCGTCTGCACTGAGGACCAATCTTTACCCGCTTCTCTTCAGGAGATGCTCGCCCAAGCCACCGGATGTAACATTGTTAAGCTCCCAGTCACACATTTCCCCTTCCTGGAGAGCCTTGATAGTGCGAAGAAGGTTGTTGATGTCATCGTGGACGTCGCTGGGAAGTGATGAAGATCAGTTGGCTAAATAAAGTGCATAGGAACCTAGTGAACTACCCTGAAAAGCCAGTAGCTCCGTCTCTCAGCTCAACCATTTGTATAGTAACTCTTGTATAATAAACCAAGAACATCCTAGAGAATGGGAGGCATCAAATGTACAAAGAATTATAAATTTCCCCGTATATTTAAACATTGACAAAGTTCCACGTCTCGATTTTCTAGGAATATAGGGGGTTAGTTTGTATGCTACTTACATATATATTTAACCCCTATCCAGACTGAGTTGTCTTACCTAGACCGCCAACACAATACTGGGAGTAACAAACATTTCTGTCATCGTACAAGTGCCTAGATGACAAGCACTCGAGCAAAGGGGTGGCTCTAAATATTATTCTATCCGCCGCGAACGATTTCCATGAGCAAGTCATCTACAATGCCAACTAACAAGCCAACCACTCAAGTTCCAATACCAGGGACTTCGAAACCACTATCATCTTGTACAAATAAATGTTTATTGTAAGTCCTGAATGTAAGGAATGAACACTTACCTCCCTAAGCTTAGAAATAGGCAAAGAGATGTAGGTTTGAGGTAAACCTCCCACCTTTAACCATGGCAATCTGGACTTAGTAGCAGATGCGACGTTCTCGAAAGATATTACAGAGTGCTTGGCTGTTATGCATCCTATATGAACAAGGTGAAAAGGAGATAGCAAGAGTATTGCATAATATTATATTCGACGGGATGGACCTGTAAGGGACTATTAATACCTACACGTATATCATGCGCCACTGGCTGCTTTATTAAACGGGAAACTAAGTTGAAAGCAATACAACTTTCGTCCATCCATTGAGTATTTTTCTTACTTAGCAGCTAAGATAGCAGTATCAATGGTAATGCTACTATTTTATTTATTTATTGCCAAGATACATACCTGGCTTGGCGTTCTTGGTTGTTAATTATCACTTCGGGGAGTTGATGGACAGGGGGCTGATGCATCTTATTCCGAAATACATGTGGTGCAACTTTTAGAGTCATTTTATTCTACTGTACAGACTTTTTCCCTATTGACTAAACTCCCTGAACGCCTATCGCTGCGAATATGATACAGCGACTATACTTATTCGTCATCAGCGAGCTCCTCGACTCTTGGAGCTACATAGGCTCTCTGCTGGGGTTCCGTTTGAATCTGAGTTTCAGTTGCAGTGGTAGTAGCGGTCGCTGGAGGTGGGTGACCTGTGTGGCTCGCAAGCTGAGCAGCTGACTCGGCACCGACTGATTTAGAAGCCTTCTTCTTTTTCTTGGGCTTCGCAGTCTAATAGCCAGTTAGTGTATATCTGTGATATAAGATTAGGCAATAACAAACCTCATGCCAAGCCCAAACAGGACGGAAACTGTCCATGAAAGAGACGTCTTCCCAAAGATTGGGGTAGAGCCAAAGTCCAGGAGGCACGACAAAGTACGTAATGCAAAATAGAATGACGCGGAAAATGGCCATGAGGAAGAAGAGACCAAGAAGCATCAAGAATCCCCAGCTGAGATAGTAGACGCCTTGTCGCAAAACGAGCGGCCATAGAGGGTACAGGACTACGGTGAAGATGACAAGTAAGGCAAGAGCAGCATAAACCTTGCGCATAATCTGACTGCCCTCGTACAGCCAGACATAATACATGTCGTCACCAGCGTCTTGCTGCTGTTCAATCTTGACTGTCCAAAGCCCCTTAACTCGTTTACCCTTCTTGGGAGCATGATCGTGACCTTCATGGGGGTCGATCTTACTGACACGCAAGGCTAACATGGACAAGGGTAGCAACTTGAAGGTATTCTCAAGTGATGCGCGATCGGTGACTTCGGGGAGTGCTGGGTTCTTTGCGCGTGCCTTGGCGTAGGCAGGAGACTGAAGAGCTCGGAGAGCTCGTTTGACTAGAGAACAGGCGTGTGAGATTGTGTCACCACCAAAATAGCAAACAGTAGCATACCTCTAAACATATCCTTGCGCTCCCCATTAAGGATGCATGTGCGTTGCTTTAGAGTCTGGCTTCGTAGAAAGTTGGCAAGGGAAATTGCGACGGGATTAGGAGGGCCAGGGCGAATAGGTTGTGGTTGACCTTGGGCTCCCGGAGGAGGGCGCGGTGGTCCTTGAGGTCCTTGAGGTCCTTGAGGTCCGCCTTGAGGGCCTTGGCCACCTTGCTGCTGCTGTTGTCTCTGGGCTGCCTGAAGCTGTGCTAGACGTTGTGCCTTGATGTGCTCGACAAATTGGGGGACAGTCATGCCATGCTTCTGGGCTTCGGCAGCTAGTTGCTGTTGCATCGCGGCAATCTGCTGAGGCGTCGGCATCTGGCCTCCAGGTCCCATTTGTATCGGGATAGCTCCCGGGGGAACATTGGGATTCTGCATGTTAATTACTATCTCTTGAAGTTATTGCCAATATGGCTGTGAAGTTGGAAAAAAGAAGCTAATAAAAAATTAGTTAAGATAGTGTGAAAAGGAACAGTGAGATGTGGCCGCAAGGTGCCAAGTCTGTAGATATTTTGGACTCGACGCAACGCAAATAGAACAATCTGTCATTCTTAACACCTTAGGGAATTTTAGCGCTACGGGTTTGTACCTAGGTACCTAATAAGCCCAGACAGCGGGCAGGTCCGACTTCCACTGATTACCTATTCTTTATTCTACTGAGCTTCCATGAATTACCTATCCGATAAGACATGCACGGACCATGTTGCACAAGTACATACCTCCAAATGTTAGGCAATTTGTAAGTGGACTGGTGGACTGGTGGACTGGTACAATTCACCTTTCTCACCTTCATAGGTACATGTATTATCAGTGTAATTGAACTGACTTTCATTTACCAACGACACAGCTCAGGCTTCTTATATGCATCAGGTCTTGAGTCAATCAACGGTTAATGACACTCTCTGACTCCCTGCATATTCTACCTAACACATGACGGTTTGCTTCTAAAATAAGGAATGCGCTTATAGCTTATAATGCTGTTTCGACGCGTGAGGAGGCAAATGTGCCTCGAGTAGGTATTGATAGAAGGTCAAGGTGAAACAGATGGGTACCTAATTAACAAACAAATAAACACAGCCGACTTTCGAACTTAGAAGGCAGTAAAGCGTTTACTGCCTCTATCTGCGGATATCCGGCCAACCCTAAAACGGCGCCTCGTCAATAACAACTTTGTAACGTAAGATCGCGTCTAACTACGTCCCCAAACATGTTACTGAGTGGACACATCCGGCTCGCGCAACACTTTATGGAAGCTCTAGTACCGTTTCCAGTCGGACGAACCCATGGCTTCCCCAAAGGCGGATGCCCTTTGTCATCCATTAAAACTCACCTTGTCGGGGATGACGAGAGACATACTCATACTGGCTTCGTTATTTACGGCCCTAGCTGCTACATCTAAGGCCAATCTCTGAGGCCCACGAGACACCCCTCACGAGGTTCCGTGGCAATGTGCATCTAAAACATTTCGAGGGTGGGCGACCTAAGTCCTTCTAGACGGATCACAGAGCAAGGAATTCTAAGACAAAAGACTGGCTGTGCAGAATCGTTCATATTACAAGTAGTGGGGTCCTGCAATCTTGGTGTGTGCCGCCAACCATCCGAATCCTCTCTAAGACCCCGGTTCGTAAGCGCCGACTGGACCACGACTTTTAGACTACAGCCTATCAAAGTCACGGACGTCTGCATCTAAACCGTCAACGCTTCCCATCTCAATGTGAGCCTACAAGTCCCCAAAAAGTCAGCTCGCCCGCCCAGCTGCTTGAGCCTAAAAGGTAGTGCACAAGGTAATTTCTTTTCACGTCTTCCATAAAGGTGTTATGCATCTCATGACCTCTTGCACTCTTTGCTGCTCTCTTATTAGCTCTCTTATTAGCTCTCTTATTTCCTACCAACCGCTGGCCGTTTCTTTCTTCCTATTCAGCGCGGCATGAAGTCATCATGAAAGCCTTAGGTGGGATGCTTGCTGAAGCTTATGCATCATGGTCTCTTTCTATTTCTGAGTGCTGCTCAACCTTTACCTCTTCTCACTCTGATGAGAAGCCTCGCCAACCTGGTAAGCTTTGGAATATACAGAGACAGCAGGGACATTATTCTCTAACTAGATCAGTCGTTCCCAACTCGTTCGGTATTATTGATCAAGAACCTTCATTTGTTCCGCCTCCTTCCGCAGAGTCGTTTAGGCCAGGCACAGGGACATCCAGTCTGGAGCGGGCTCCCAGGAAGAGACACGGTTCTGGACAGAGCAGCTTCTCTGTGAGAAAGCTACTGCTTAGACCGAGTTCATCATCATCGCGCAGGCCGCAAATATCTGCTCCCACCAATTTCCGCCATCTCTATTCAGAGTCGTTCCGCTTCCCGGACTATGGTCTCACACAAGTAAGACCTCAGCCGGCTTCTTTTCGTCCTCTCGAACTTAGTATATATATGTCTGATAAGAGACTTTCGCCAATCCTCCCTCTCTTTGACTCCCCTGCACCCCCGGTTACGCCGCCTCAACGTGTTTTTACCCTCTCAAGCCGTAGTGAAGACAGCCCACATATTTCGCATTCACGCAGCTACTCATCTATGTCGTTTCATATCCCCCGGAGGCCAGTTAATGATGGATCTGTGTTTGACTCTCCGCAGTCAGACATTAGCACGCCCCAGCGACCCCCACCCGCTAGACTTAGAAATCGCACTTCGCCAGCATCATCGAGTCCTATGATGGAGGATCTTGTTGAAAGGGTTGCAACTGCTATGTTAGAACGGGACAAGCTACAGGAGCAGATTGAGGATGTAATTGAAAGGCAGAGCATCTACGTTAGCAGCCGCCCGTCAACTGCTCATGGACAACCTGGTCAGTGATTTCACATCTCGATAATATTGAATTACATACTAACAGGTTTATAGAAATGGTGCCCATGCCAGACATTCCAGCACTGCCTCCAAATGCTCCCTCATTTAGTGAACGTCTTAGTTCTGACCGCCCGCACACTGCGCTATCTCAGACCTCGGCGCGCACGTTATATAAGGCTAACTCATCACGCAAGGTGGAGAACAGGGTTCCTCCTCCTCCATTGCCCCTTAGGCTTAGGCCACCTCTACGCAAGAAGAAATCATTTTCAATGGTTTCTACCTGGTTATTCCCTGGCGGAGAACCCAACCGAGATATCAGTCTCGACTCCCTTGCCAATGGCCCAAGACCGATAACTGATACCGACGGTTTCTATCAAATCGATGATCTTGAAGAGAATCGAAGGTGTAGCGTTGATACGCTATCCACAAGCTCAGACTGGACTATTGAAGAAGAGCAGACTCTACCTACAAGCTTGTCGCCTAGTAGTACGACAACTCTCAGAGCAAAGTTGGAGCCTCCAATGGCGATCGCATCTGGACTACGACACCCAATGGCCTTCCAGCAACGACAGAGTGTTGGTGTTGCTGTCTAATTTCTATTCTTCAATTTCTATTCTTCTGTGTTATAGCATTTTATGATACCAAGCGGTACTAAGGGACCGTGCATTTATTCATTTTATGCCAGAATAAGGCATAGTATTAAGCGGGACATATAGATTTGGAAGGGAAAATCAGCATCTAAAGCAGGTCCTGGTCATGATGTTGGGGTAATGATAGAATTAGGGACCATTGGAGCTTCTGACCTCTGGGGTGTCTTAAAGCGGGCAGGTGGCATTTTGTGGATGATACCCAAACAGGTAATGGGAGTGAGGCTATCTCATGCTAAGAGTTGTTAATGGTTTAATCATGGAGTCAAGTCTAATCTGATACTTGAATCTGATACTTGGTTCTTGGATGTTGTACATATTTGAATGAACCTGGCGTTGAACTCATTGATGTGTTCAAGTTTGTGCTAAATCTCTGGTTAGAACTTAGGTACGTTTACCCAACTATATATTAGGTACATTTATAAAAGATATGTAGATACCCAAAGTACCTGAAGCAAACAATCATCCATCCCATGCATATAACACTGCTGCGGAGCTGTAATACTGCAGCGTTAGGTACCTAACCTACCTAGGTACCTAATCTTCCTATAATTGCACCTAGGTAGCTAAGGTAAGGCTTATGCACGTTGGGGTTGGGATGTATATGTCAACGGGCCGGCAACAGCTGTTATCCAGTCAGGTACCAATCAGTTGCCAATTGCCGTCTCACGCACTAAGACGGCCGCACCCAAGCACAAGGTTCCTGTGGAAAATCAGCAACTCATTACTCATTATGTACAATTGTTCATTCACCTACTCAACATCTCTTCCTACCATTTGCAGCGTTAAATATACCACAGCATCGTTAGTTTATTAGTTGCACTTTCTTCAAATATTGCCAGGCATACGGCGATGAAGAAAGGTCGGTTCTTTCACTCTTTTTCACGATGGTCTTCACCGACTTGAAACGCCAGCTATCGGCCTTTGTGGCCCGAGGCTCATACAAATACACTCTGCTTCCTGAAATTACCTCCCGCAGCCAGATGCAAAAGCGTACTACAAGTTGGGTTAATCAGCACATCTTTACTGTTAGGCTTGCTCTATGCGCCTTACTTTCGATTGTGATAATCACATTTGCAACGACTTTTATGTATGTCAAGTACGTCTTGGTGGGAAAAGGGGGGGAGGGGGGGAGGGGGGGAGGAGTTGCCCATAAACAGCTCACTTGGCTAATCGAGGATATTTACTTAGGCAATCTATCTCGTCACAACCCTGCAGAGGCTTTATACATGATCGTCACTGCAAAAAGGAGGTTTCTCGTTCATGGGGACAGTACTCATCTGTATTTTCTGTCCCTTCAGAAATCTCGCCAGCCATCCCAGAAGAGTGTCATGTCACTTTCGCGCAACTGCTCTCGCGCCATGGAGCCCGTGACCCTACAGAGCATAAATCCTCAGCTTATGGGGCAGTTGTTGAACGTATTCACAGTACCGTGGTGGATTACGGAAAGAACTTCAAGTTCATCAAAGACTACGAGTATACCCTGGGTGCTGACCAACTCACTCTGTTTGGGGAACAGCAAATGGTGGACTCTGGCATCAAATTTTATGAGCGATACCAACATTTAGCCAGCACCAATTCCCCCTTTGTGCGTGCTTCTGGTCAGGAGCGTGTTGTTGAATCAGCGCAGAATTGGACCCAAGGCTTCCACAGGGCGCGGTTAGCGGATGATCATTCCAATGCCCCGGATACGTATCCCTATAATATCCTAATCATTCCCGAGGGTGATGGCTTTAATAATACGCTCAGCCCTGACCTTTGTCCTGCTTTTGAGGATAGCCAACATGACAGCCATAGCAACCAGGATACCTGGACAGAGCATTTTGTGCCGCCCCTAACCAAGAGGCTAAACCAAAACTTACCTGGTGCTAACCTGTCTGACGAAGAGGCTATCTACATAATGGATTTGTGTCCTTTCAACACCGTTGCTGATGATAAGGGAAAGCTGTCACAGTTCTGCTACCTGTTCACGGTAGATGAATGGCATGATTATGACTATTACCAAGCTTTGGGCAAGTGGTATGGTTATGGAAATGGAAACCCTCTTGGTCCGACTCAGGGGGTAGGCTTCGTCAATGAGTTACTTGCAAGACTTACTGGTCAACCCGTTGTCGATCACACCACTACTAATTCAACACTGGATGGGTCTAACTCTACCTTTCCTCTCGACCGTGTCTTATATGCCGACTTCAGCCACGACAACGATATGATGGATATATATGGCACCCTGGGCCTGTATAACCTAACAGACCCACTGCCTGGGAACCGAAGAGTTGGGCCACGGGAAACTAAGGGGTTCTCGGCCTCCTGGGCTGTTCCGTTTGGGGCTAGATTATACGTAGAGAAGATGTCGTGCGGGGGAAGCAAAGAAGAGTTTGTGCGAATTCTGGTTAATGATCGAGTGATACCCCTGCAGAACTGTGGCGTTGATGCGTTAGGTCGCTGTACGCTGAGCAGGTTCGTTGAGAGCCAAAGTTTTGCAAAGAACGGTGGGCATTGGGACCAATGCTTTGCGTGATACCTCTAAGCTTGTTTATCTGCCAAGACATATGATGAATGGAATGCTGCATTTTCATCTTTACATGGTGGCTCTGCTTTAGTTGTTTTGCTTTCATTGCCTTTAGGTGCCTAATCTAATGTGTACAATCGTGATTCGAGACAAGGTTGCGGGGTCTGCTGAAATACTATCCATGTACAGAAACTGCACTACAGAAACTGCACTACAGAAACTGCACTACAGAAACTGCACTACAGAAACTGCACGTTCCCAAACAGAAAATATATTCGATAGTCCGACTCGGCTCATTCTCATCCCGATATGACAAGTCAATATACTAATAATAGCTGTGATCAAGGGCCATGTCGTCAAACCCTCATATGGCCCGATAGATATTTGTCACTGAACTTGGAGATTACTGTTATAAGGCAGAATTTCTGCACAAATCGTAAGAGAACTGAGACAACAACAAGGCTTAGGAGTGGTGCAATAACGTGACCATAGGTTTGACAGGTTTGATAGGTTTGGATAGAGTCTTGGAGTGAGACAACATTAGCAGCTAATTGGGGCTTATCGGTACGAATTTCCTCCCAATTAAAACTACCTAATGGACCTAATGCATCCTGTATGTAACCAGGTAACATTACATACACTACGTAGGTACATATGTACCTAGCTAAGAATATTCCCCCAATCCGCACGGGCCATAACCGTTTAAGTCTATGTAACGTCATGCTTAAGTGGAGATCTTCTGGACCTTCCCCCAGTCCCATAGCCGACTCCACTGAAGAAAGCAGGGGCTAGCACCTAAATCGGGTAACTCGATACGGTATCCATGCCATGTTTGCATGTCTATAACCACGCTAAGTTGGTCCCACCAAAAAGACCCAAAGCTTCAAGAGACCCGCAGCACCCCATAGCAAGCAACAACGCCGCAACGCCGCAACGCCGCCGGAAAAAGAATGTCATCAGCCTCAACTCCAACTTCGCATTGTAAGACATACTGACGACTAGATCCCGACTAGATCCCACCTCGATACCTCTTCTGTCCACGGCCCACAACGCCTTCTTCTTTCTATCCTACCTTGGGTGGTTTTGCCACTCTTTTCATCTGATTTCCCCGGCCTTGTCGACCGCTGTTTTTTTCTTTTTCTAGACGATCCCCAAACCTGACAAATATCCCGGACCACACCTGCGACCGAAAATGGTCAGCCCTGTCGGGACCTTCTTCATAGTCCTGGTTGTGTTGCTGATCGTAGCCGCGGTCGGCTGGATCGTCTTCACCCAGCTGCGCGCAAGGCGGTTAGGCGTAAGTGCCCCCATTTTCTATACCCTCTCTTCCTCCAACCACTACCTATCATCCACTCCTGTCTCCTCTCCCCTAATCACTGCATCATGCTTGTCTTACTTGCCGGGCATAATCGGAGCCATACTTCATGCTCCTCTCTAGGTAGTTAGCCTATCTAGTATATGACTACAAGCTAACGGATCCTCGTCGCGACAGCTCCCTGCCCCACCTCTCTCATCCTACATCCCCTTCGCGCGCTCCGAACCCTCGTCCTCGTACGGGCCACCGCAACCGGCACCGGGTGGCATTCGTAGCTGGTTAAGCGACAAATGGCGCGCGTTGCGCAGCAGTGGCAATAGGTCCGCGAGCGGCGCGTACGAGCGCCCATCCCGCCGCGGCTTCGGAGCCCTCGACCCGGACGAGGCATGGGACACGCGCGTTGGCCACGAGGCGGACGGGTACTACGGCTACGGCTACGAAGAACAGGAACTTGGCCTTCGCGGACAGGGACAGCGCCAGCAGCAACAACAACAACATCATCATCATCATCATGAGAACGGTACCGGATACAGCAACGTGAACCTGGCAGCCGATGAGCGAAGAGGACGTACGTTAAGCCGCGACCAGGGTGCGTCTATTGGCGGTAATGGAAATGGAAATCTAGGCGTTGGGGTTGGTCGCAATCCGTTCGATGACGATGCGGCTGAGCCTAGCAATATGAGCATGAGGGGCGTGAGTCCCCGGCCAATCGACACAAATGTCGCGGCGACCAAGGCGATTGCGGGAGCTAAGCACGACAGCCCGACGTCGGAACGAAGATCGATATTTAGGGAGGAAGTATAAGGGCTATGGTTTTCTTGCTACGCCACGCATTGCACCTTGTTTTTATATTGTTTATTTGTGGTTGATGCCCACGTGGAGATGTTTCCACGGTGCACGGTGCAGGATCGAGATAATGTGTATGTTACATGCCACGCTCCTCTCCATCAACGGGGAAGAGGGCTGGTTAATTTAGTCTCTGTCGAGAGAACTGGAGTACGAGGGGAGTAAATACGGAGTTCGTGTCTTGAAGTGGACATCTTGGTCTGAAGGGTATTAGGCCTTAGGGCAGAACCCTGAGGAGAGGGAGTTTGCGGCGTTTTAGGCTCGTTAATAAGGAAAAGGGGAGGGGGTTGTTTCGTTTCTGCGTATACGATCTTATCCAGGTCTCCCCAAAAGCAACAGGCGTTACTGGAAGATGGTTTATTCAATATATAATGCGGATGTGGTGTCGCATGTTTTCATGGCTTTGCTTGCTTCTGCCTTTCTTGTCTATGAAATAAAATGTGTTTGCCTCCTAAGTCTCTGTACTGGATAATACAGTCGTCTCCCCCCTGCCCTCCCCCCCTTTTTAAAAAAAAAATAACCATAGGGAATAATTTAGTATAAATGTCGGGAGACAATACGGCTACCTCGTAGGGCAGTCGCTGGATAGCAAGTCTATAGGGAAGACACCTCTTCCCCCTATCCTCAGATAGATATCTAGGGTATGAGTCAAAACAGACAACAAAAACACCTACATACTACAAATTAGGCCCTGCCTCTTATTCTATGCAAATACGATCCCTAACAATCAACAGGGAATAACTCAGCAGCTTAATTATTAATCATCTAAGATGGCCGAGTTCTGTTAGCAGAGATAAAGGGGCTAATCACGATGTTTCAATGCATCAATTGTATCATCCTTTTCACCAACCCCCAAATCCCAATCTGTATATTTTCAAACATTAAACCAGGTTCTTGCAATCTTAAATGCTCGCCCGTATTCGTTTATATCTAAGAAAGATTTCCACGGGCTTAGGGAAACGTGAACAGCCCGACAAGATAAGTCAAACGCGAATGTCCCTGCTCGATCGTTATCGCCCGTCTCTCGAAAAACGTCAACAATCGTTATAATATCTAAAACAAATACAGCGAAGAATAAGCCCAGGAGAACAAACTCAAGGGAGGCGTTGCTGCACCACTTCTTCAGGAACCTAGAAGTGTTGCTCGGAAAGAAATCCTGATCTCGATACAACCGACGAAATCCCTCGAGGATGAGGCCCAGGATCGGAGCTAATGCTACGACAGTCGAGATCCAGAATATGGCCACCAATAAGTCTCCGTAGTAGACGCTCTGCTCAAAACCCGGGTCTCCTAGCAGCCAGTCCTTGGAGCACAACTCGGTCGAAGAACATGAAGAAACGCCAGGAGCAGCGTCTATTTTGTCCTCGTGGCAGTCGTATCGGGCGTAGCGGCCCCTCCCGAACATGGACACAATGTCGCCGTAGTATATCCCGAAAACAACGCAGGAGGCGATCCATTGGGCCACCGTCAGGAGGTACAAGACCCATATTAGGACTCGGTGTAGCGTCGAGTCGGGTTCAAAGGTGCACTTCACGGGGTGGAAGTGTAGCGAGCGTGCGTATCGCCACACCGTGACCCAGTTCAACACCGACAGGGGGGCAAAGTGTAGGGGGTTCGAAGCCTGCATGAAAAGGCTAACCCACCAGAACACCACGGATACGGCGTCAAATATGGCAAAGGCCCAGAACATCGTACCCAGACCCTCGCCGCACTCCTCGGGGTCGGAAGTAAATAGCTTGAACATCCACCACGAGGCACTCCATATAGTCATGGTGGTGAGCAGCGTGGTCGTGAGCGAGAGCGTGTAGAAGGCGGCAGGCCACGGCGTCGATGGTATCACCTTGAAGTCGCCCAAGCAGCTAGCAACATCGCACCACGTGTATCGAGCTCCCTCATAGTCAGACCGGTCCGCCGGCAGCCACAGCTTGACCATATAGTTCTCGCTTGGGTCGGGTGAAAAGTCGGTAAACCCTCGACTGTCCGTCGCCAGGTCATACCGTAGAAATGTGCAGTCGATGGCGGACGAGCTCTGGTTGGAGCACTCCTGGAATCGAGTGTTTTTGTAAAGCTGAAACTCGATGCTGTCTGGGTCGATGCTAGCACTGTTATCTTTGAGGGCTAGGATGTATACGACGAGGATGGCGATGAGAAGCCCAGAGAGGGCAATCGGCATGAACCAGAACAGTGATTTGGAAAGAAACGAACAGGTTCTATATTCCTCTTCATCGGGTACCTCCATCGCCTCGCGCATAAATGCTGCGCTGTAATGGTACGGGTCTCTTTTCCGACGACGACGCCGATCTCTAGGCTCGTAATGGTCTCTTGCGGACGGCATTAGGCCGGAGTACCGAGACATGATGCGAGTTCGAGAGGTACGGGGGTTGATGAGGGTAGGTTTAATACTACGGACGTTACCTATTGCTAGTCTGAGGAATGAATAAATACACTCTATATAAGTAGTCTGGTATTTGGAGGGAAAGAAGCGAGACAAGGGGAAAACAAGACAATATAACCTAGAGATCTTCCTATTCTTGTAGATAGGTACCCAATAAGTAGAGAACCCCTGTATAGCTAACCAGTTTTGAATTGGGTTGTAGCTTACATTGCTAAGTAGTCGGCGGTGCATGCGAAGCAACGCTCAAAATGGAAGAACAACAGCAACTTACAGGGGCGAAGACATGCCAAGAACGAGAGCCTGCCGCCAGCCGCTTACAGCCCAAGCACCATAGCGGCAAATGTGCTTTCGTAGAACGATTATAGTATTTGGAAATTTTAGCTGAAAAGTCGTAGTTGCAATACTCTATCTAACCTAAACTCCAATCATTTAGAGACCCTGATCTCGTCTTTTTCTGCACTCGAGAGTATAGAGAAAGAGAGATAGGTATTAAAATAAATTTAATAAGGCTGGCTATCTCAGCTTGTCATCTTAATAGTTGAAAGTGTAATCCTACTTTTCTTTAACGGGGGCGCTAATAGAAACATGGGGATTAGAATGAAGGATTCTTATAGGTGGTGCGACATCGCAACCCTTCCTTCAGCCGCACCCCTGACACGCAAATTATAAGCATATTCCAAACTTGGGAGACTTCCCCCGCTCCTAAGCCCCCAACTACTACCTTTAACTATCTCTCTCATTCTAGTTACTACCTACCTAGTAAGTGTAACTATAGGCAAGATGCTACAGAGAATTGAGAGGGTTGGTATAAAAATGGCCTATAAGGCATACCTGGCTCCCTGGCACAGGGGTAGATAGTTTCTAGGTTTTTCTTATATCACGATACGTAGTTTCTTGTATACATATAATTATTTCTCTTGTCATATATAACAAGGCAGCATAATCCTTAGGTCCAAATGTTTAATATGAGATGGGAGTTATCTGGGTCTATTATCAGCCAGTGACCCTAACAACTTTAATACTTGCTTCTTAAATTTTATTCGGAATAGAGCTTCGACCTATTCTTCATATAAACTAGGTAGTTGCTCGAAAAGGAGCGCCTAGAGTTACCCTGGCGCTATTCAGATTGACCCGTAATTATTCCGTAAGACATAATATAAGAAATATAAAGATAAGTAACACTAAAGCTATTACTCAATCCCTCTTTCTCGCTCTCTGTCAGGGGACAAGTGAGACTAGTATGAATTAGGTATAATGTATCTACATAGAACAGATATATAAGGGGGGGCGAAGCGCCCTCGAAAGAGGATAGAAGGTCAAGCGTTAATAGATTCATACTACTACACGGCTACTATACAGCAGCTAAGCTGCTGCTTCTAACATTCACTCTACGTATGACATCCATCAAGGGGTATCTCTGACAGTTGTAGCGACAGTACTTGAGAGAGCAGCACGCCTCGGATTATAAATATTATATTCCCACGCATTTCTCCCTATCAGTTTCCTAGATTAATTTAATATCCTCTATTTGCGCACTAGCCCAGAAATCGGCGTCTGATATCTTTTTCTGAAGAGGTCCGCCTTCTACATTACACAGGCCTAGGAAGGTAAAATTCTCGCCGGAGGCACGCAATATGCCAGGTTCGTCATACCCCTTAAACAGGCATATTAGATCGCCGGTTCTCACCTCAATATCCTTTCTATGGGCGCAAAGAATTGTACCATCGTGGAGTAATATATAATGCATTAGAAACTGGGCGACAATTGAGACCTCTATCATGCCTCTTTTTTTCGTCCATTTTTTCTTTGCGGTTCGTGATCTTCTACGCCTAGGCGAATCACGCAGACTGCTGTAGACCTCGTATAATAATTCAGCGCTCTCTACGTCAGTATACCTGCTCGCATTCTCCATCATACTGTTTAAAGTCTCTTTGATTGTTATTCCTCTTATGGATGCTGAGGGTTCAAAGATGTGCTTCTCGAAAGCCTTTAGGCCGTTCGTCAACTCAACCGGTATTTTCTCACGGCGTGGCACTACAGTTTCCTTGTCAAGTGCATGGATGACACTGCGGAATGTCCCTAATATGCAACCCTGTAGATGTAGAATCCTTTTGTCAGGTGACACATATACGGATGGCACGAATACCGGTTCACCCCGGCATGTGGAACGGAAGTCAGTGACCCAGGAGGGTACACCTTGGAGGTCATTGCGCCTACAGTCAAGCAATTTCAAGTCTCCGGCTGACTGAAGTAAGAATGCAGTATAGGCCCAATACGTCTCGGTATAGGTCATATGGTAGTTCGGCAATAACTCGTCCGGAAGTTCTTCTCCTGTGATATCCCTGAGTATACCTAGTAGACCGTAGATTTGATCCCGGGGATCCGTAGATTTTTTAATGAAGGAAGCCGTGAGTATTTGAGAAAAGACCTCCCCTATTCCCAATCTCCTTGAATTGCCGACTTGTCCCTCATGGGCTCTTAGATATAATGTATGGATCCTCGCTATGGCAGTCATTCTCACCATTCCCGGGGTGGTGTAAAGGTTTTTGTTCTTCTTGACGAAGTATGAAAAGAATTCTATAAGATCATCTAGGCATATGCCGTAATTTCCAACAAAAACAACCGGCATTTTATGTAGACAGGCCTCTTGAATCGTCCATAGCCTCTCAAACCACGGCCGATGTAATATGTCGTCTATCACATTCATGACTGCCCTGTAAGCGTGACCGAATGTTTCGTTTATAATCAAGTTGCCATTGTCATCCACAGGATCCCATCCTGTCCACATCAAACTAACTTTCTTGAATAAGATCTCGATTGCTTCGTCATACGATATTTGAGACTTGGATGAGCCCTTCATAGATATTTCGTGTGTAGGCCCAAGCCAAATGACGCTACAGCCTATGCGATATATATCAGACATACGTTGTATTTGTTGAGACCTTTCCTCTGCATCTTCTTGGTTGATGCAGATGGCATCGATCCAGTAATAGTCACCGGGGAGATAAAGATCTTCGGGGCCCTCTCTGATTCCGCCGAGAGCTATAAACAAATTTCTCGTGACTTGAAATCGTTCACCTTCTAATAAAATGGTCCTCTTATCTGTCACATCGCCCCATACATAAGACAGGGCACTGAAAGGACGCGGTGCGACTTCTTCGAGAGGTATCTGGTGAAGAAGGCATTCAATGTGGTCAGTGCCTGGTAAAATGTGGTCAGTTGCTGGTACGATGGAGAGCAGCCGAATATCTGTCCCCTCTAACTTTCGATATGGATATGCCGGCTTTCGGTATGGTTGTTTAGGTGATTCGTAGTCTTTGTTCTCCTCAACATCGTAGTGAGTTATGTTTGAGATATCTTGCTGTATATATGGTGATTTGAATTTCCGATGTTTAGGCTTCATCACGAAAGAAGTATCTTAATGAAATTGGTGTGCTCTTAGTGCTCTTAGCTCCTAATGAAGCAAACATCACGCTAGTAAAGTCGAACTTCCATGTTCACTTCTATTTGCATTCAGACCGCTTCTGCCTACGTGTATATATTACATAGGTCGTGGTGGACAGTGTACACGGCGTCGGTAACCAATGATCTCTCTTGTATAGCCGCCAGCTATGCTCAGCCTCACCAATTCTCGAATTTGGAACCAACAGAATGAAAGTTGAAAAACACATGGATGATAATATCAATCGGCAATTATTCAGACGTCCTTATAAACTCCCAGGTTAAGTAGTTATCTAAATTAAAAACATACCTATGTATTTGCATAGTTACATAGGTATATTAGACCTTAGCTTCCATACATATTAAACACGTATGTATACCTACCTATCCACAATCTTATACTCGCATTAGGCATATACGTACATAACATAACGCCTTGCATGATGTCAATCCTCAACCCCGCTACTAAGATTCTACCCCTCTTCTCCGTCCTATCGACAGGTCACATCTTGATAGCTTTGTCTGTCCCATCTCTATGGGGAGACCCATAATACTGAAGCAAACAAATATATAATACCAGTCTTATTATTTCAACTTATATTTAAACCCATGGCTGGGAAAGGAGGAGACGACGGTAGCAAGAAGGCCGCCGGCCAAGCCAGAAAGGCTCAGACCGCTGCCAACAAGGCTGCCGCAGAGAAGGCGAAGAAGGCGGCGGAAGAGGCCGCCGATTGGGATAGGGGTGCTAAAAATAATGCCAAGAAGTGCGCTTCATACTTTTTCTTTGTTGAAATGTTCTGACGAGTTTAATTGGTTACCTACCTACCTACCTACCTTAGGTATATAATCGGATTATAAGAGGCAAAGGACACACCTGACAAGCCATATGCTAACTTATACCCAGAGAAGCGCAGGAAGCAAAGGAGGCAGAGCAAGCCCGGAAAAAGGCCGAAAAGAAAGCTCTTGCTGCCGAAGAGGAAAAGAGTCTACCAACTCGCCCTGGACCCAAGAATTCTAAGACGGCTGTTAAAAAAACAAATCAAGGTCACATCATGTTTCAGGCTGGTCTTGAAGAAAATAACAACAAAGGCGTCCCGACACGAGGAGGGTCTGGAATTAATGCCGCACTAAGGGAAACGGAGTGGGTTGAAGAGAGGACTAATGCTGCAAAGGCAGATAGAAATCCCAGTAGAAGGGTCAAGGCTGCATTTGAGGCTTTCAAGGAAAAGCGCGAGAGAGAGATGAAGGACGAAGGAACTCAACTGAACTTCAGTCAGAGGAAGGAAAAAATCAAAAATGAATTTGAGAAAAGCGAAGAAAACCCACGCAACAACACTACGAATGTTCGTTATAATGCGACAAAGGAAGAGATCGCTGCATTAAAGCAAAATGAATTGGACCGAATCGAAGGCCGGTACGACGACTCTGAATAGGGAGTAAGTTCTGCATGGGTTGAAAGGAGCAAGAAATTAAGGTATATATAGGACATGAGGGTCGGTTTTGTAATTGGCCATCTCATCTTTCTGATGAGAAAGATGAGTTTTTCGTCCTTTGGGACATGGCTTGGGGCAAACTCGTCCAAGCTGGAGAACAAAGCCATATGCAAAGAAGTTAGCATATACATAGATCATGTACTTCGTAATATATGTGTACTTATGTATAATTTATGGTTGACTTTGTAGGATTGACTACATCAACGAAATTTACAGGATATTCATATTTTGGCGTCTTCATCTCGCCAATCTCGCCAATTGAAGCATTGTCCTCTCCATTGGCGAATAGTGCGTTAGAGTGCATAAGTCTAGTAAATAAATACACCGATTCGTATGCAAAGCCCACTACAATCCAAAACATCTCGTGATGATCACCTGAACAGTTATTACTGTTTAAAGACAATACGCTGCGAGCGAGAGAGGTCTCGTGATAGTGTAAAAAATCGAAGGCGGAGTTGGCTTGAAATTGCATCGGGTAGATGGGCTAAGCTTCGGCAAGCCTCGGCTCGGGACTCGGGATATCTACAGGGGGTACGTTATGTCAGTATGTACAATACCTAGTTAGGTATGTATAATAAAAAGGAAGTGATGTTCGCGGCTGTTCTAAATCCCTAAATCGCTTCGTCAGCGCAAAATCCGGGGCACCGCAATCTCCATCCGTTTTCCCACCAACTTTCGTCTTTGCCGACACCCCCTCATCACACCCCTACGCGACACCCGAGAATCCTCACGAGGCGGACCCGATCAACATAGACATGTACTATTAACTTTTTTTGCTGTTTTATTTTTATAACGTAGGGTCTATTGCATTATATCGGAGACAAGGTCGGTGGCGTAGTAATGCCATCGGCTGCTGTAAATCATGCCGCGAGGTCCGAGTTCACATCTCAAGGAGAGGAAAATGCAAATACCATTGTCAGCAAAATGGATGGTGTTGTCAGGAAAGCTAGTAATGCCGTCACGGGAGCTACGGCGCGAAGCCCAAGTACAGATTCAGTCGATGATAAACCACCGATAGCAATGAAGGGGAAACGGCCGGATAAACATAGTATGGACTATGTCTTTCGTTCTTTCGTCGCTGGAGGTCTCGCAGGGTGTGCTGTATGTATTCTTGTCTACTCAATGCCCAAACTGGTCGCGTGCTCACAATTTGTCTCCAGGCCAAGACTACCGTCGCTCCTCTCGATCGAGTCAAGATCCTCTTCCAGACCAGCAATCCGCAGTTCGCAAAGTATCAGGGTTCGTGGGCCGGCTTCGGGATAGCGATACGCGACATATACGCCCGGGACGGAGTCCTAGGACTATTTCGCGGACACTCGGCGACCCTCCTGAAAATATACCCTTACGCCGCCGTAAAATTTGTTGCCTACGAGCAATACCGCGCCTTGATTATCGGCTCAAACCGCGAAAAGGAAACGTGGTTACGGCGATTCTCGTCCGGTGCGTTGGCTGGTGTGACATCGGTCTTCCTCACATATCCTTTAGAGATTCTTCGCGTACGGATGGCATTTGAAACGAAGGCTACGCGACCGTCGCTTATCGACATCTGCAAAAAGATTTATCACGAACACCCTCTATCGAAGCCACGTCTTGCGAATACAGGGGCCGGGTCAGGTATCACAGGAAATATAGCCGCGGCCACAGCAGCAACAGCGCAGTCTGTAACCCCTCGCTCTGGCCTGGCTAACTTTTATAGGGGGTTTTCTACAACTCTCTTGGGTATGGTACCGTACGCCGGCGTGTCATTTTTAACTCATGACACCGTGAGCGATCTCTTCCGTCTACCGTCTATTCGAAAATATACTACCCTTGCTAAGCCCCCCAACGCTCCCGCCGATAAGCCTGCACCGCTTCAAGCATGGGCTGAGCTGATAGCTGGAGGGCTCGCAGGTGTTGTATCACAAACCGTGTCTTACCCGCTGGAGGTGATCAGACGACGACAACAAGTTAGTGGGGCTGTGGGTGATGGCCACCGCTTGCGAATAGGTCAGACGGCGGGTATGATCTTTAGAGAACGAGGGATCCCCGGGTTCTTCGTCGGATTATCGATTGGTTATGTAAAGGTATTACCTATGGGTGCCGTGAGCTTCTACACGTGGGAGCGGTTGAAGATACTGTTCAACATCTAGACAAAAGTTGTACATATGATGGATTTGCGGTAGCATTATCGGAGTGTAGGCGTTTATGGCATATACCATGCTTGGGTGCAGCATGACGAGTTGGAGTCTGGCTCGCGATGGCTCGCGATGACTGAGGACTTGGGGCCCCTGTGCATAGGTATGGATACATGGAATAGCAAGGCATGACATAGAGAGAAGTATTATATACAACAATTGTTAGCAGCCCCTTTCCCATTGAATCTATTTTACATCCGGTTTTATTTTTTGCATAGTAAAAAATTACTAGTTTATTGAAGTTCGACTCGAGCATAAAACTTCAAGACACTGGTGGGTTGGAACTCACATATGGAAATATACAGCGGCCTATGTGGCGTATATTGTCAATTCCCTTTTTATCTTTTTGCTTTTTGTTCCAAATAAATCCCGTAGGAGCTCAGCAGCTGATTCCAACAACCTGGGTCTCGGGAGTCTGAACCCCGTAGATCAACACGACCGGACGCGCTCTACAATGGGGCGAATTTAAAAACGTCCAAAATGTTTTTACATCTTATTACATCAAGGTTAAAATTTAAAGATATAAAAAGTAGGTTTAATATTTATTTTCTTAGTATATTTATATAAAATTAAAAGATTAAAGATTGTTTTTTAATGAATAATTACTTAAATATTATAATGAGATTAATTTTGTAATTTTTATAATTAAATTGGTAAAGTTATGTAAGTTTTTATAAAAATAAACCTTTAAAAATCGAAAATATTACCTTTTCCCATATAAAAGTTGCCACTTTTATAATACCATAAGCTTTATGCTAAATATCCGCGCTTAAATAATTTTAAGAATTAATTTAAATTGGTAAAAATATTAGTTTATTAGTAATTAAAAGGCTTATAAAATTTTAAATATTGATTTTATATAAATATATGAAGTTATACGTATTAGAACTTGGTGAGTTTTGGTGTAAAAATGGCATTAAACGTTTATTTTTTCTAGTCACTGTAGTTTCTTAGTGGCGTCCGCCCAAAGCCACCATCGCTGCATCTAGTACAGTCCTGCAGGTCAGCTAGGCACAGCGTCACCTATGTACATCTACCAACCAAGGAGCGGCCACCTTTTCGCTCGGCATTGTCAAATGGGTACAGAGCTACCTACCGGTTCGGCTCCCTGGAGCTGACTAGGTGACGGTGGATATACGGGATGGCAGGTTACTCGGATCGACGAATGGCTAGAATCATGAGCTCATAGCTTGCTTGAAAGCCAGTCAGCTTACTGCTGCTGCGTAGGTAGGGATGGATGAATGGGTGATCCCCATATTGCACACACACACACACACAGAGTACGCTTTAAAGAGGGCTCCATGGATTCCCCAGGTTTTTGCTTTTGTTACCTACCTTATCCTTGTAGCTAATAATATTATATATACCTCTCCTATGTATCACTTACGCGCTGGTCAAGGATCTCAAAGCTGACATACGCTCCCTGTTATAAGGGCTGATGCGCATACAAGCAATCTTCTCGTGTATTGACTACTGCATTCGGCCATACACTCATCTATTCCATTTAACTAAAGTGATTGCTCTTACATTTCTTCAACTAACCTTTTAAACAAACCCTCTCGCAACTTATACACTCCAAGCCATACCATCATGTCCTCCTCCTCCTCCTCCTCCCCCGCCTCGAACCCAGCCGATCCGGCGACAAAGCCCGCGGAGCACAACCAGGTAGTTGCGGACCCCCTCGCGCACTTCAAGGCGATCCCCTGGTGCGCAGCGCTCCTCTCAGACCCGGCTATCCTCGAAATCGGCGTGCCGGACCGGCGACCGCGTACGTACCCATCGAAGAACTTGGTTCTTACAAATCAGCTACTTAGGTACTAACCCTTATAACCGTAGTACCCAACGGCGGCTCCAGCCTCATACGCAAGACCATGAACACTCCCACAACCGCCCGCGCATGCGTGACTTTCTATCAACTCGTCAAGCCCGTCAAACCCGTCAAACCCAGATCCTCCTCCTCCTCCTCTCCTTCCTTCGCCGGCACCGGCGAAGTGTCTCCCGTCGGGGCCGGGGCCTCGGCCCCATCCGGCAGCACCAAAAGCAGTCGTAGCAGCAAAGGGGAGAACAAGGGAAAGAAGCAGAAAAAAGCACTCTCCGCATCAGAAGCCCTCCTGAGCGGCGGCGGTAAGCAAAACGGCGAGGACCCGCGGAATCCGTTCGTGCTGTTCAGCGCCCTGGTCGATCTGGGAGACGGCTGCCAGAGCTTCCCGGGCATCATGCACGGCGGTATGCACGGGCTGCTGATGGACGAGGTCATGGGGACGGTTGCGAATTCCCAGAGTGGTGAGTCTACTCCTGTTTATATATATATATCTCCCTTACCTGTCTACCTACCCACCCCCTAGCATGCTATATAGTCGGGTATGCCGTAGCAGACGACTGCTGACGAGGAAAACTGTAGCAAACAGCGCGTACACGGTTCGTTTCACAACGCATTACCATCGCGCGATCCGGCTCCCGCAGATCCTGCTGGTCCGCGGGCGCGTGGTGCGGAAAGAGGGCCGGAAGATATACGCCAGGGGCACGTTAGAAGATAAGAATGGTGAGCATCACCTCCTATCCCCCCCCCCCTTCAATAAATCTGGGAAAGGCAATATAATCTAGGCTAACTCGAATGCTAATATCTCACAGGAAACGTCATGGCCGAAGGTGACGGGGTCTGGCTCGCCATTGAACGGAGGTCTGGCCAGAGCAAGCTATGAGCGAGAGACTGGGCTAGTTTCTAGAGGTTAGATGAGTGAGGATTTAGGTTGTATACATTTGTGCTTATTTCATGTTACAATGTTACGCGCATATTATTTTTACCCAAGCAAGCGTTATACGCATCATTGGCAGTAAACAAGTTATTTCTTCATATATCCATAGCTTGAGGTATATACAAATGTATAACAATGCCATTACATGTTAACTTATATGGTGTAGGTTGATTAGAGCCGCCGGTAACGACATGTCGTAAGGACCCGAAGGTTCAGAGATATTAGACGACAGCTTATGGACGTAGAGTCGGCTTAACAAAAGGCGGCAAAATTTTCGAGACGCCTAGGCTCAAACTCCTACGCCAGCTTTCTATCCAATTAATATGGCCGAGTCCTTACAATAGGAGCTTAGCACCGCCAAAATAAGAGCTCCCAGATATACACAAAAGCCATAAAAAAGCAAAGATATGAAATATTATATCCGTCTCATTAATACGTTATCACGTTCGCTCATTTGTTAATCATCTAGTCTGCCTTAATAGCACTAAAGACACATGTTAGCAATGTTCTAATTTGTCATGGCATAGTAGTAAAATCGATGCACTCACCTATATATCCTCCTGACGAATGCATACGCCGTCAGGAATCCCACGGTGCCAGTAAGAAGTCCGTAAACGCAGCACGCCATAAAGCTATATCCGAAGAATAGCATAGAGCTCACGAAACCCGATATATGCAAGTTAGCGAAGTAGTACCAGATGCTGTATAGGAACACCCATATGGCACTTCCGCCGCCCACGAAGAAGGATTGCCACCACCAGTGATAGTTCTCGGAGCAGAGCTGGACATAGATAGTCACAACCGTGACCTCGGCAATAGTCAGAACCAGGATAACGGAGACGACAGCTAGGAAACCGAAGACGTAGTAGTACCCGCTCTTATCCTGCCATAGCGACTGGAATACGAAGAGAAGCTCGATAAAGATCACGGCAAATGGAACCAGGCCGGCAAGGAGGATCGACTGTAACCTCTTGGCATACCAAGCTTGGTTGGGGACTTGACGACGGATGCTCGTAGTCTTGGTAGGATGTTCCCATGCGTTTGTGCGGACGAATCCGTACCAAGAGCCCATATATACCAGTGGGACCTGAATGCAAAGCCATAGTAGCACAATAGCTATCAAAGTTCCGAATGGTATAGCAGTGCTAGAGGCTTGCGCCCAAACGAAGAGGTTTAGTATAAAGATCAGACCAAACAGTAGGCCAGGAAATAAGAATGCCGTAACAAGAGCATTCTTCCCAAAGTCTTTTCCGTCAAAAGTCTTGTATACCCTTGCGGAGAAGTAACCAGAAAAGACGCCCGCAAATACGAAGAGGCCGAACCCAGCGCTAAGGAAGCCACCGCGAAAACTAGGGTTCAAGATGCCAATAGCACTTAGCAAAACCAAACCAATGGCCATGAATAGAAGTTGCATGCCTGACCCGACAAGTGGAGCGAGCAGATGACCATACTCAGGCTTCCTGAAGACATCCGCATGTAAAAGCTTCCAGCCCGTGACATCCTCTAGCGCTTCATCATCGGATGATACTTCTATTTCCTTATCCACATCGGCTTCTCTCTCGAGGACGCCAAATCCTGCCTTCTCAGATTTAGGACTACGCTTGCCAGGCTTCCCCTTGCGTAACTTGCCATCTTCGATAGAACCTTCCTTGTATCCTTTGATGTCAGACCTGATAGTTTTGGCCAAGATCATGAGAACGATACCACTGAGCAGGCCACAGATAATCAGGGAGTTGATAATGGCTAGCCAGTGGATTCGAGAGCCCTCCTCCGAGTTAACGAAGTACAAATCCCAACGACGATTCCATTCGATCGACTCGTCTTCGCGGAAGTACACAGAATACGAGTAGGGGATGGAGATGGTATCATCATCATCGCCTTCTTCGATCGCCGCGGGGTGGTAAGACGAGCGGGGATACTGCGTCTGAAAATCGGTTGTCTTATTTGGGGCCATGTAGAGTTCGAAGCGGTCCTCAACATCGTGGAGATCGGCAGCGCAGCCGCTGTCTCGTTTGACGTTCGGTCCAATGCTTTTGGTATAGACCTCAAAACCGACGACTATTTTACCTCCCTTCTCGCCGGCTCGACCTGACGCCGCCTTGTATCGAATAACGATGGTGTGATGGTTATTAAGAAAGTAACGCGGCTTTCCGGTGCTTGACGAGTAATCGGTAAAGCCGAGCTTAAAGCCGGCAGCATAATACTTTCTCGACTTGTCGACGGTAACGAAACTAGTGGCGCCGGGTAGATTGTCGACGATCCACTCTACCACATATCCTTCCCTAACCAGCTCCTTAGCTCTCCTTAGATCCTTTCTTGTAACCACTTGCTCGCATAGAAAACTGCATTCTTTGTCTTGTCCCATGGTAAGATCAATGTCTGAAGTCATAATCCTGTCACCACGAAGGACTTCTCCGAGGTTGAGTGAGATGCTCTGACCGCTTAGTAGACCGGGACCGTGGCTTTTACCCGTGGGCGGGCAGACGAACGGAAGATCGTAGTAGGCATATTGCAGTTGCGTATTATCGGAATAGACTTTATTAACGAGTAAAGGAATGTGTTCGCCTTCCTTGTAACTCTTTACCGACCAACCTGTGTTCATGTATAATTCGTTAGACGTCGCATACTTGAAGTGGGCGCGTCGACATAGACCGGGCGCCTGGATTCAGCTTACCCGGAATATAGAAAGCATGAACTTGTGAGACTATGAGAAGAGAAAGTAGCCATTTCAGACTGTTCCTCAGGGATTCGCCCATTTTGCGTATATCCTCCTATCGCTATTGCGTCTCGAAATACATCAACTCGGTTAGCTTAGCAACGTGTTAGACGTCTGGCTTTCGCCCAGCTTCACTACTTGGCGCGAGAACTTCTAGGTAGAGTTCCGTGTTATACGGTTTGCAGATCTGTCAAGTGACTGGAATGAATTACTATTTGTGTTGCGACGAGAACAAGAACGTCGCGGGATCCTATTGCTTTGGCTCGTTTCGCGGCTGCAAATGAAACGCCAAAAGGACGATAGAAGGATGGGTTTAAACGAGTGTAATGGGTACTTAGTACCACCTAGAAGGACAGAACAATGTGAGGGATGATCTTTTTAGCTGAAGACTGATGCTGACGCTGATCTTGCGGCACTGCTTTTGGCTCGTTGGGCTGATGTTATAGTACCGTACTCGGAACAAGGACTAGGTTAACACGTTCTTTATTAAAGAGAACCTTAACCTTGAGTTGTAATGTCGAGTTGAGACCGGAAGAGAGAGAGATTAGGTACCTATGATTACTGTGGTACCTTACTGTTCGAGAGATCGGGAAGAGGAAAAGGAAAAGGAAAAGGAAAGACAATAGAACGGAGAGAGATACATACTAGGTACATTATGTATGTATTGTACAGTTTACGAAGCCCGTCGACCGATCGCGCTAGAATTTGGATCTTGGCAGATTCCTTATATCCCTGTCCCCCTGTCCCCCTGTCTCCTTGTCCACCTGTCCACCTGTCACGTCTTTACATACATACATAGAGTTATGTAGGTGTTACCCCCCGTCGGGCTCCGCAGTCCAGCCGTTATCTATCTGCCCCGGTCCATGTAAATAATAATCTAGTTATACAGTATAAACTGTCCAGATCTCATATACGCTTACAGTGCGTAAAGCAGAGCGGAGCATAACCTAAACATCCTAAATATAGGCACATGAATGCGTGCTATAATTCGTATTGTCAAACGCTTAAATTCACGGGTAAACTGCTTCTGCAAGAAAGTTAAGCATGCAAGGAAGTTGAAATAGTTTCGGAAACGTTTATTATAAACCTCAGTGCGTATCGTATCATACCATGTATACAGATAAACCCGGTATATTAGAAAGCTTATCTGCCAGCTTTAATTTACTACTAACAATCTTCAAACATGGCGCCACGGGGAATGCTCAGTCAAGCAGGTTCGCGTAGGATCACATATGCAAGTCCAAGTAAATCGGGTAGTATCCAGAAATCAGAGAGCCTATCTATTTAGGAAGTTCTATTAAAGGCCTTGTGCAACATGGGGTATACCTCTCCACCGGCTATGCAACGAACTCCAACCTTGGTCATTCCGTCGTATGTTTTCTATGTACATTTTGGTTCACGTGTCTCTTCCTTTAGAGGGTGATGATATCTAGCTCTGAGAAGTCCGGTGGCGCGCGCCCGTATACAACCCGCACTTTGCTGTCGAGTGCCGTGCCCTCGTTCGAAATCCAAATGTGTTCACTGTATTCCCTCGTCCTTCTTATTTCGTCGTCACTCACTCCTAGGTCGTCACGAGGAATCCATACAGTCGGCCGCTTTGCACGCAGGGCTGAGTGCATGAACGCACGCCTAACGAGAACGTCTCTTTCCTCGGGTATGAGATCCTCAATTTCATCGTGAAATCCGCCGTATAGAGCCTCACCAATGGCCCTCTGCGCCTCGAGATCCTTCTGTCGACGTTCTTCACGATACTTGTTGACATTCTTAAACCCCTTCTCTGCCTTGCCAAAAGTACGATTGTAGGTATTTTTACTGCCACGAGCTGCCCAGGTACTAGCGTGGACAATGCCCTTAACAGGCTTAAAGTTCGTAAACTTATTACCTCGCCCCGTCTTGTCATCAGCGCCATCCATAGAATTGTTTTGGCTTTCACTTTCGTGTGTCGGTAAGTCCTCTTTATCGGATACATCGTCGTCACGATCATCAAGGCCTAGACGGCGGTTCTGTGCGCGCTGGAATGCTTCATCCCGCAGGACAGCCTCATCTTCGAAGGTAATAGGTAAATACCGGAACAATGGCCCAAATGACTTGTTCAGGAGGAGTTGGTATATGGCGGTGAGAAAGATTGAGACGATCATAATGATAGCTTGCGGTGCACATGCAACTTCGCCATTCTCATCTCTAACAAGAAAAAACAGGCCGACAAGGCACAACTCCATTACGTAAAGCCCCGTGAAAGTTTGGTTGATGGCCTGCGGATATAGCACACCACCAGTGTCGCTTGTGAAGCGGTTCACGTAGATCATGCTGTATCTATTTGCCATCCACAGGAGACTGAAGGTGATGATGGCGAAGATGGAGATAATTGGGGCGACGACTGAATAGATCAGCGCGATACAAGCGAAATTCGTATAGACCGGGAAGGTAGTTCCCCAATTCACTTCAGGGAGCTTAGTATTGGTAAACCACTTATTCCGGGCCGTTTTGTTCATCATCCTCGCGATGATGTACCAGTTGATGAGAGCCCCAATTTGCAGTAATGTACCTGAGCTCACACTGAGGGCCTGAAGAATCATGTAAGAGAAGAAATAGTTTGCGGCCTTTGGTAAATTTTCTGCTAGGAGATCCGCAATTCCAGTTGGGTTGTTAGCAATATAGTCAAGTGTCTGGAGGACACCCGAAGCTAAGGAGACGACCAAGAATACTTGGACGAAGAGGAACGCAAAATAGAACTTCTGAACCGTTTCCGTTTTCTGGGATCCCGTCTTGGCTCCTTTAAAGCCAGCAAGGAAGCCCATAATAATCGGCACCAACCAGAGAAGTAGAGCGAGTAGAACTGCTGGTAGAACACCAGCAACACCAGATACCACGTTACGAATATTTTTGTTCTCGTCGATGAAACTCAACCAGGGAAATTCGTCTGTTAGCGTGCTAACTTGAGAGATAGAGGACGTGAAGGCAACCGGGAACGCCCATAGTAGGATCATGCCGGCGACAAAAGCCACGGCGGCAGCAGTCCGGAGCCACTCAGACCACCAGCTGATAGCCATATTTTCCCAGAGCACGTCATTAGGAGATATCTCCACAGTGCGAGGGGCCATATGCCTCGGAATATGATGCGTAACACTCTGACAAGCCATATGCGCGGCGACTTGGTGATTGAATTGAATAAAAGCCGACTTCATCAGCGGATACCGTTCTGGGCTCTTCTGGTCGGTGTCGATCTCCAAGTTCAACCTTGCTAGTTCCTGTCTACACCAATAGATCGTATCGACTTTCTTGTTGAGAAAAGGAAGCCCAGGTAGCCAGGAAGGTGTCCATTCAAATATCGCAAGACGATGAGTTGGTCGCTTAGATTTCTTAACCCACTTCTCCCATTCCGCTCCACTGTCCTTCTCTTCTGTCCATTCCTCATTGTAAGCTTTAGGGTATTCTACCGGCTCGAGCTCCGCGCCACCAACAAACGGAATGAATGACTTTATCTTTTCTGAGAGCGTCTTCTCCTTCTTAAACGGAAAGTCGTCGCCTTCGTATCCTTGGGGAACGGGTGACACATATCCACCCGCCGGGGGCTTCCAAAACTGATACCATCGTATGGTTTCGTGTTGTCGCATATCCTCAAGGGTATCAACTTTGCGGGTTGTATTTCCGAACTGTCGCATTTCAACATTCTCCCCCTTCAACATAGTATCCTGGGAAATTGAAGAGCCATTACGATAATGCTGTGTTTGTGATGCAGGCGGCCCCATAACAGGCTCTTCGGATCCAAGACCCTGACGATGGTTCGAGTTCTGGGTCGACGGCCTGGGAAGGTCTTTCTCGTCTGGCAGCTGAACACGACGGTGGCCCGGTCCCCGCGTAGGGGGAGCGGGCGAAGGGCTCTGCGGCGTTCCTATTGCCACGAATCCATTTGTCGTTTCGATTTGACTGTCAATACCGTGCGAAATATTCTTAGCGCCTCCAAATATCTCCTGTCCAGTCTTACCCATCGCATCAACACCCTTTCCAAACCCTCCAGTTATTTTCGAGAACCCACTTGCCACAAAGCTGCGCCCAGTAGATGGTCTATGGATATCGGGTTGGTGGTCAGTCTTAACCTCCGCTTCAGCATCAACCACATCATGAGGGACTTCGTGCCGATCACCACTGCTTATGCCTTGGTTACCTTCGGCCTGCAATTTCGCTGCATCGTCCTCCCGCTTTTGACGCTCTTGTCTCTCTCCTTTGGTGGGTCGGTGGGATTTAGATGCTTTACGCGCCCGTCTTTCATCCGCCTCCCTCTTCTTCAGTTGCTCTTTCTTCGCCATCCGAATCAACTCTGTCAGGGCTTCCTCCAACTGTTTGTGGATTAGGTCACGTTTGGAAATTTTCTCTAAGAGATATGTCAAGTCTCGCGTAAGCCATACGTTTCGAAGTCCTCCTGGGAAAACATCAAAAAGGCCTCTGAGAGCCTCCTCATTCAGCCATTTGTCGGGAATACCGCTCACTAGGACAGTCGTCGCAGAAGCTCGTAAACGGTGTTCAGCAGTTGTTAGCCAGTCCTGGCGGACTTTAATATAAACCCTCAATTCTGCAAAGAAAACACCGCAGACCCATATGATGACCAAGACTGCCATGACGAGATGCGCCCAATATCTGTTAGTCTGGTCCTTTCTCACATTACCCCATGCCAACGTGTCTAGCCCAGTGATGTTGGATTTCGGCGCGCTAGGGTCGCTGTAATCAGCGCCCTGGGGATCGGTAGAGTTGACGTTTGGGTTATTCTCGGTAGTATTCGATGAGAAGTTGCGACTGAGTCCGCCAACGTAATTGACCGGCACTAGGATCGGGATTATAACGATGGCCATAGGTATAAATATGACGAGTAGGGTTTGTAGGTATCGGAGAAAGAAGTACGCATCCAGTCCACATTTCTTAATAACCTCGCGATCCGGAAAGCGAAACACGGTACTAACCATGCCCCAGGGACTACTTGGTGGGGGTTCGGTTCGTTCCCGTTCTGGTACAAGGTATGTTTTGGGCTTGCTGTTGTACGATCCAACTTATCAGCATGCTGTTTGGCAAAGAGTAGGGTTAAGGGGGTCGCATACAATATTCTAGATAGCTTATTTCTCAGTAACAAGAAGAGTCCCGTCTGAACGCCAAAGACTATCAACGAGACGTTCAGAGCAGTAACAAAAGCTATCAGGGTAATGCCCTGATTACGCTGGGCCGTGCCCTGATCTAAGAAATACTTGTTAGCACCATACGCAAACCTGAAATTAATCGGTATAACGGCATCGCAACTTACCCCCTGAGTCCGGCATGCTGTCCCTCTAGGTCGTTAGCCGACCTAAAATCCAACCCGAGAAACTTGTTGTGGTGTCGTCCTCATATGTAGTCTAAATAAAGGAATGGAGAGGGAAAATAGGGGAAGGTTGGGTGAGTTTAGGAATTGCGAGGGGCTACAAAACTAGTCTTTTGACGATGACGATTAGATAGGTTAGATGCGTTAAGTTATGTATGAGGTACGTAGGTAAGTATGTATTGTAGGTAGCGTAGGGAGGTAAATAGTAAATGCTATAGAAGATTTATTGTGAACTGAATAAACAGGACAATTTCCACGTATGAAGACACGGGTGTAGGAATTAATTCAAGGAAGAGAAACAACGGCATTATCGTAGTTCAGGTAGTCACGTAAAAAGAATTAGGATAAAGAATAATGGATAAGGAGGAGAAGTCGGCGGTTAGATTGAATTTAGAAGCTAAGAAGCTCAACCGATTTGACGAGACTTTGCACGATGCTGCGTCAATGTCCTTACAACCTGGATTGAGATTGACGAAGTACAACAACACGTCTTAGGTACATGTGATATGGTAGAATAGACAAGCAATTTTCGAGGTACTAATTCAGGTGAATGGTACATGATTTTCAGTAGATTTCTCCACATGTGGGTATGCTCCCTCCCGCTTGCATCCAATGAATGAACCTGCTCCATGGTTGTACAGCAGAAATTAAAAGACTGATGTCAGAGGCGCCTGCTCTAAATGACTTGGCAAGCTTAAACCCCCTGAAACGACCCACTTGATAAGGACCAAGTTCTTTTATCGTGTTGCCGCTGTGCCGTTAGGTACCTGTGTAATACCGCTTCATATTTCGGGCAAGCTACGGAACACGCCGACTGTGATTGGACCCAACTCACGCGCGGCTGTTCTATTTTGTATTCTTGCATTTTTGAGGACATGCAAACATGGTATAATATTCAAGCGGTTACAACTAACAGCCCTGATTGCTACTCTCATTGGGTTCGCAACGGCCCACGTTTAGGTCGGATATTCCCAGAACATAGCAACGAGCGGTCGAGATCCTCTGGATGAATTATTGCTCAATGTGGCGGCGATACCATAACGATAAAAACTACCAGGTCTTAGATACCAGGTCTTAACTAGACAACTCGGTGGGGCAGCTTACGAAGCAAGCGTGAGCTAGCTTTGTTCTTTAACAACCAAGAAACGAATCTTGGCTTGCAGAACTTGATGCAATTGATTAAGCTAAAGCCAAGAGACACATCATCATCAAAACTCAACCTAGAAATTGACAGTCCGGGATAGGAAGTCCATGCTTCAAGTTATTGATCTCTTTGAGGCCTCGTCCGGGATCTGCAGGAGTTAATATTCACCATTGTACAAGTCTCAATGTGGTTCACAAAATACGGCAAAGCGGCACAGATACACTAAAGGGGGTCGAGTTCTGATATTACGTGCTAGGAGTACCGAGGAATCATGTCTTCTAAGGAAGATTCACCTAATCTATCTGCATCTTGTGTATTATTCGAGAGCTTAGATCGATCTATCATTGTTATGGACGTTCCACGTTCTATCGAGGAGGCTCAACTATTACCAGGACAAGTCCCTAATATGCGTATTGTTTCTTCCAGTCCAATAGAAATACCCTGGAAAACGCCCGACCCCAAGAAAACAAGCCATGAACAGTTAGCCACACCCTCTGCAAGCATAGCTGAATTGATGGTCCAAGAAGCCGTTAGGTCTGCACTTGAAAAGGCCAAGCAGAACTACAAAGGACCCTGGTGTTTACCACGTGTTGTAAAAGATACAGGTAAATTTTGCGATGAAAAGTCATACATCAAGGAGTTACACAAGAGGAAGCGAACTTCGGGCGAGCCGGCCGACATGGTACCAGAGTCTCTCATTCCAGATCAGTCACACTACCTCCTAGGAACCATAGAATCTGAGCGGAGAGCCTTCGTTGCAGATGCTCCCATGTTCGATTTAATGGTTCTTGATCCACCGTGGCCCAGTCGATCTGTAAAACGGAAACAGAATAGATATACTATTGCATATGACATACAGGAAGTTAGGCATCTCTTAACTCAGATACCTGTTGCATCGCACTTGAAAACAGACGGCCTTGTGGCTGTATGGGTCACTAACAAAGCTGCAGTTTCTGACTTGCTAACATCTCCCCGCGGGATATTTTCCGAATGGGGCCTCGAACTCGTCGGGGAATGGACCTGGCTAAAGATCACGAGTTCCGGTGATCCAGTCATCGACTTAGAAGCGCAGTGGAGAAAACCGTGGGAGAGGCTATTACTAGGTAGGAAGAGAAGCAGCATGTTAAAGGCTCCGATCCCAAGCAGGGTGATCTTAGGAGTTCCAGATATCCACTCAAGAAAGCCAAATTTAAAGCTCTTGTTTCGAGACATACTGCCGGACAACTACACCGGACTAGAAGTGTTTGCGAGAAACCTCACCGCAGGCTGGTGGAGTTGGGGAAACGAGGTCCTATATTTTCAACAGGGCCATCACTGGGTAGACATAGCAGATGATGTATAGAGACTTGGCATCGAACAAGTAATGATATAATGCCTTAAGACCGATCTTTTGCTTGCTTTGCAATGTGTATTGTACACGCAAGTCCGGCCCAGGTCTTCCATAGTCGTACAGTCGTCCTCTATCACGCCTATAGAATAGAGTCCCTAACCATTGCCCCTTCCCTCCTTCATGCCTTGAGAATTCAAGTTTTTATTTATATTTTTTTTCTTCTTCTCATCCACCTCCCGTTTATTGCCTACGGTTGAACTTCGGGTCTAGCTCCCTATCGTTCTCCCATTTTCCATCCTTCAACAACCTCTTCGCCTCCTGCTTCAGCAAAACTCTAGACTTCGTCGCGCCTTGCTCGTCTCTTAGGGGGAACGTGCCAGTCTTTGCAGCGTGTTTCTGCCACTTCTCCTGCCTCTCCTGCTCCTGGCGCCGCTTCTCCAGCATCGGTGGGTTCCATGCGGACAGGTCCTCCGGAGCATCTAGCCACTTGAACGGCTGGTGCAGCTCCACCGTCATCGTCTTGACTGGTGGTGGCCGGTAGATGCGATGATGCATCTTGGACTGCCGCGGCCGGCGCTGCGTCAGCTGCGATCGTACGCCTAGCACAGGCACATTATATGCGTGCAGCAGATAGTCACGCAAGTCAAATTTGTTGAATCTTAGAGGTACCCTGAAAGTGGCGAAGTTTGGTGGTTGGTTATCCCGTGGTCGTAAGAAGGCAATCGTGTGATCGGGTCTATAATAGGATCAATGTTAGCTGTGAAAGTAAGAGATGGCTAGGCAAGTCAGAAGCCCATACAAGAAGACTTGTTTCTTCCCTATCCGGAAGAACTTTGTCGCCATTGTGCTTCGATGGCGACTACGGATGAGATAAAGAAATATAAGATTCTATACGAGATTGACCACAATATTATCTTAAATTTAGCACATGCATCGATAAGAGGTTCAATTCGTTCTCTACACTACGTCGGCAGGTGAAAATTCCGACTTCACGGACCCACTTCTAAGACGGGTACCCAATTCGTTTAGCTTCCAGTTATATGTTCCTGCATGCTTCAGAAATGCCCACCGTAAATATAAATAAATTACATACGGAATACTTACCTAGGGTTAGGATGTAGGCAATTATATAGATCTCCTGGTTAAACTTTAAGATCACGGAGATGGGCACTTAGGGAAGAAAAAAAAAAAAAAAAAGGATTCAATTGAATCCGGAATGACGACAATGGGAATTTAAGGCTTCTTTTTTTTCTTTGAAATTAATTTTACTTCTTTCGTTACGTGCCCAGCAAGATTTTGACACATTCGCATATGCATTGGCCCCTCCATCCCAGGCTCTTATGTCTTAGGTGCCTAAACATCAATACCGTCAACAACGACACCCTTAACCCACTCATGCTGCATGAATCGGGCAACTTCGTTCGCGGTATCTTCATCGACCAGAATGCTGACTAGATACAGAGCTGCATCTATGCCAGCAGATATTCCCCCCGCCGTAATGACCCGAAGCCCCCCAAGACGCATCGCGGCTCTGCGCGCAATGGACTCACGGCGTCCATTCGAGCCCTTGTATGACACGCTTCCCTTTCTGTATTACCAATCAGTAAGTGAAAGTAGTTTGTACTTGAATATAAACGTACCGAGCTACAGATGGACGTCTTCCTGCGTCCGACTTGCGACGGATATAAGGGTTCTCATCCTCGTCTCCGAGGTCAAAGCGAAGGTTGTTCACGACATATCGGGCGTCTTCTACGACGTCGGTTCGCTCTTGCAGGTCACGCTGTGCCGCATTGCTGCAGACGATTTCGAACTTAGTCAAGTAGTCTGTATGAGTAGTGGCAGACAAGCCTGCCAAGATGCCTGCCTCAGCTAGGAAGAGGGACCCGGTGCAGACAGACATCAGTGTGCGCTCTCGAGTGTAATCTTTCCTCTGAAGTTCTGCGAAAGCCTCGATGATGGGTATAGGTTCAGAGTGCTCTTTCAGGATGGCACTGCTATCGACGCTGCCCACCACGATGAGAAGATCGAAATCATCAAGGCGTTCATGGGCCTCCTTGAAGTTGATCTGGGCGCCAATGATAACACCCTGTTGTGACAAAACCTTAGGCTCGGCGGCAACAATTGTGCAATCGAAGGCTTTGGTATCTGCAAACGAAACCTCTCTTAGCATGGCTACAAGGGAGAGGTAGTTTACAGGCTAGATATGAATACGTGGGTAGCTAACATACTTTCGTCGTTTTTATCGTGGCGAGCCCAGTCGAGGACCTCGAGGGTGCCAACAAAGTCCAACAAGTCAAACTTGTCTTGAAGGGCGAAGAGTACTTGAATAGGCTCATCGGCCACGGCAGAGGTCTTGTGTGCCATGATTGAAAGTAATAGGTAACGTTTTTGAGAGGGGAAGAGATAAAGATAGAGAGAGGGAAAGATGTGTGTTGGAATTCAGAGGCCTATGGCTAAGAAGGAGAAAAGACAAAACTTGAGGAGCGCACAATTGATTGATAATGAATCACGATAAGAGGAAATGAGGTCAATTGTTTTGTTGACAAAGTCGTTCTACGATTCCTTTGAGGGAATAGAGAAGAAAGTTGAATGAGAATGGCCAGACGAATGGAGCGAGGAATTGAACCTATGGGCTGATGGATGGAGTGATTGAGGGGCCTCAGTTTTCAATACCTGCCCACGCCGGAGAGTTACGTAGGACCTATGTATGGAGCTTAGGGAGGGGCTAAGTCAGGCCTGTACATAGCTGTAGGTATTGTACATAGCAGACGGTAACTACCCCACATTGAGCATCAGTACCTAGTGTACCTTCTAGGTAGTATGTATATCATTCCTTCCTGCCCCTCCCCCAGATTTGAAGCGGCTGTCTAGGGTGCGGAGACCCAAGGATCTACCTCCTTCCCTGTGGATCTACATAAAATGGTCACGCTCTCACCGTAAGAAATACAGTGTCCAAGTTAAAATTCGAAGAAGCGCACATGATCAGCCTTCTTGATACAAAACTAAGAATGCTAAAGCTTGATAAACTACCTACCTAGGTACTCAGGCTGAAATAGTATTGGATACTAATATAGGATAGGTACCTACGTATTTATCAAGAATGATCGCCATATTGTTCTGATTGTGTGATTAAATCCTCCTCTTACTTAATTCATCGTACTCTTAGGCAAATAATGCTTTTAAGTATAGCGCCTTAGGCCGACATACATTACATAGTACATTATATCATGTATTGTAACTAGTACATGATTTAGATAGGTTTAGATGGTTACACTCATTGTACGGCACCTGCAGGCTTGAAGCGGCCTAAACGAGTCGGGAAGACCCACCACTGGTCTTGAAAATCACAACTGATTTGCTAAGGTTTGAATGGAACCAAAAGGCTGAGCACGGTTCCACAGTCCCAATGGTTCCACAGTCCCACAGTCCCAGGGAACCTCCTCGGAACTCGATTGAAAGCTCCTGCAGCTCTACATACTACCTATGTATGCGCATCCTCGATCCGGAAGTCTACTTCGTGACAGCTCATTAACCCCTACCAGCCGATTGTTTCACTCGAATCGCTCCATTTGGAGCTTCGGCGTCAATGTCTTCAGCTCCGTATGTCGATTTCGTCACCCAGAGTTCTGTCCCAAGTGATCAAGGCCTCTCTATTACTCCTAACACAAAGTCACTGCATCCACCTATCAAAGTGGAATCTCTAGGCGCTAACCTATTATCTACAATCTTAGGACCTTGAGAGAGCTTACGAAAGCCATACATAGCTTCATACCGGCGGCGAAATATCCGCTACCCGACGATCTTGTCGAGATTATCGAAGCCTACTTGAACAAGCATGAGAAGTTCGACGAAAGTATATCCGACAAGGTCAACGATGAACTGCTCTCCTTATTCCATAGAGACGTCGCACAGGTACCGTCTCGATATACAGCATTTGTTGCCGTTCTTCGCCGGTTACGCCCCATAATCGGACAGCCGAGCAAGACACTCCAATGGTTTGACTTGTTACTTCTAGTACTCAACCATCTGAACCAGGAGAAAGGCCTTGCTTCTGAAGTAGAGGGTGTGTTACTAGATATCCTTACTGCCGACGATGGCAACGACACTAGTACGCCCATCGGGGGTGCTGCTCCTCGACTTGCAGAGCGCATCTTGCTGCTATGGCTCGATGAATACGAAGCCATCGGGAAAAGCCCCGATGTAATGACGGAGTTCAAAGAGAAGCAGTTACGAAAGACTTTGCTACACTATGGGAAAAGACGCCCAAAAGTAGGCACCTATGATCTATCTGTGCTCCAAACAACTTGCTAAATAGACTTAGGATCTCTTGACTGTTCTCAACCTCTATGTGGCCAAAAAGACGTATCGTGCCCGTGCTCTTTCGTTCCTAGGTATTTTCGTGCAGAGCCAACCGCCGCATCTACATCTTATCCTACAAACACCCCTATTTAACAACTTAATCAACTGCCTTCAATTAGATACGTCTACAACTATTGTTTCCTTAGCTTTAACTGCATTAACCATGATCCTTCCCCATATGCCAAGTTCTCTCGTCCCTCACCTACCCACGTTATTTAACATATATGCGAGGTTGCTCTTTTGGGAGCGAGAGTTGTCTGCTCAAACGGCCGTCGATGCGGATCTGGACCGAAGGTTGTCCCCCAATGCGCTTGCCTGGGAAAAGCTCGCGTACTCGACTAACTTCGACGACACGGCTATCCCGCAAATCCTTCATTATTTCACGGTGCTATACGGACTCTACCCTATCAATTTCATGGACTATATTCGAAAACCACAAAGATACCTTCGACACGCCGAGGTCCCTGATGCTGACGATATTGAGGTACAGCCTACCGAGATACGTCATGCGTCTGAGAGATTTCGACAGTGCCATCTCCTCCATGAGAACTTCTATACTCTCACTATTGAATCGGAGAAAACAGACTTCGGAAGATGGATCAAAAGTGAGCCAGCCGAAGTCGTAGCTGATTGTGTGGCCCTCTACCGGCCAAGTGAAGCATTCCCTGGCCAGGGCATCCCGAATATCATCCATGGCTTACACGAAAGAGACGAGCCTGAAAAGAGTAGCCATGAGTCTGCACTACTTAGTGGTTCCTATCCCTTTGGCAACCCCATATTCAGTCCCCTTCAAGGAGACAACCGGCGGAATACCGGGTCAACTTTTGCTGAGTCTATCACGAGTGGTCGTGTGCAATCTGCCGTATTACGCCAGTCATCTATAAGCAGCCACCATTCCAATCGCGATAGCTCAAGCCCCAGACCGTTTGGAATCGATAACGAGAGTCCGGCTCTGTCTCGCCAAATTGTCCCGTCCGCATCTCAAACTCAGCTTCAAGACTTGCTAAATTCCAACAAGGCCATCAAATCTGGCCTGCATCAATCGATGCCGAATGATAGCGTTCCATCTCTTTCCTTGAGCTACCACGAGTCCATTTCAGATATTCCGGGATCGCAACTCCAGCCAAACCCACAACAGGCCAATGCCTCTTTATCATCAACCGAGAGCAACAGCGCCCAGATTGCACATTTACAGCGCCAAATACTACTTCTGTATAATGACCTGATATTTGAACGATTTATGAAGCAGCAGCACCTTACTCATATGGGTGAGCTACGAAGGCGACACGTACGGGAAGCGGCAAGCGAGGCAGAAACCCAGAATTTAATCATACAGAATCGTCAGCTTAAGCAACAAATAAAGAACGCAAAAGAATCAGAAATACAGGCGAAGAGAGAGTCCGAGAAGAGTCGTACACTCTCCAAGAAGTGGGAAGCTGATCTCACCGCCAAGTTAAAAGCACTTCGTGAAGAGCAGAAAAGATGGAATGCGGAAGGGGATATTTTACGATCCGAACTAGACACGGCGAAACGCGATGCGGATAAATTAAAATTATTAGTCTGTGAAGCCGAAGTTAGAGAACTAGGCCTGAAGCAAAATATGCAGTCTGTCGAGATCAACGTCAGTGAGCTAGAGAGATTAAGGAAAGACGTGGAGCGGTTGACAGAATCTGAACGAAGTTATCAGGCCAAGGAGACAGAGCGTCAACTTGCAGCAACGCGCGTGGCAGAAGCAGAGAGTCGAGCTGAGGTACTGGATATGAAGCTCAAGGCTTGTGATTCTGATATTCAGCAAACACATGACACGTACCGTTCACAGATTGCCGCTCTCAATGCCAAACTACAAGATCTACTTCAAGACGGCAGAGGACGCAATTCTGATAGCTTGAAGTTACAGTTTGAGGGCGTCGTAGCAGCAAGCCGGGTACAGCAGACTGAAATGAGGAGTCGCATTACAGAGCTCACGAAGAAAAATACAGCTTTACAAGCAAACATACTGGAATTGCAGTCCACAATATCCAACCTCTCGAAGCCAGACCCTCATCACCCTACTGATCCCGACGTCGACCTATCTTCCGATTCGGGTAGCCCGCTGACCCATCGAAAGCGCCAGCAGTGTAGATTTTCTGAGTCGGAGATATTTGAACCAACATCGTACAATGCCACCCCGCCGCTTGAGCCGTATAATACCGCCGTAGAAAGCCAGGTTCGGCGACCATCTACACCGCTGGCTGACCCGCTCCCAGCAGGAAAAGGCAGCCCTGCCGCAGAGCGATATTTCGGACGAGGTGAGTTTTCATTTTATAGCCCCTTGCTGAATATCACGAGTGTATACTAACTCTAATAGGGGGTGTACAAAATCGTAAGGATAAGAAGGAAAAGAAGGACGAGAAGGAGAGAAAAAAGTCGGTTGGCCTACGTGGTATTAGAGGATTCGTCTAGGCTAGCTAACTGGAGTCTAAGAGAGTAACTGCCTATTCATAGTCCTTAAACAAGGATCATTGACGACTATTTCGAATCCGATCTGGATTTAGACCATAGACCCAAAAGTCATACGCTAAAGGGGAATAAGGGCAACTATCCCTTGCTTTGTATGTATACATAATGAATGTAGCATGTTATGCATAACTCGATACCCTTACACCTTGGAGCAATTGCAGAACATCCAAATTCCAAAGTCACATGGAATTTAATTCCATAACAATACCAACATTCGTAAAAAGCGTATGTAGTAGCTCTTTTAGCCATCTACACGTAACCTACACTTACAGACAAGATGTTGTCTTCAGTTCAACGCATATTACTTCAAGTCTGTAAAAATTCCTGTACTGCGGCCTAGAAAAACTAATCGTCTGTTGTATGTAAGTCCGGGTAGCTCGGGTCTTACTCGCCTACACACGCCACTATTAAAGTGATATCTTGGTTTTTCTTTGCCACTTTCTCTCTTCTGCTCTACGAGTTACGCTCTATGTACCTGGGTAGGCATGTATTAGGTACGCATGATTTCTTATGACTTCGTATAGCCGAGGAGGGTGATAGCCTATGTATCTCTGAATTGCTAGGTACCTGTTTCTTATTAGTCGCTAGCGAACAGACGCCGCCGTGCCAGCTAGTCTTCGGTCCAGCCCAATGAGCTGGTTTAATGCAGGAACAGAATGCAAGCCCCAATGCAAGAGTAAGGGGCCCCCACAAAAGCGCATTACGCATCATAGCCGCGTAAATTCTGTTTCATAAATTTGTTTGTTTGTTTCTTCTTTTCTCCTGAACCCTACTGAGATTCCATAAGACTTACTCTCTAGATGATGGCAAAGGCTTGGAATGCTTCATCTAGCATTAATAAAACTTAGGTACTTAAGGCAAGCTGTAACGTAATTATACAGTGTATAATGTACTGTTTATACTGTTACTGATACGAAGATGATGGTTGTTTACCTACCTAGGTAGGTATGTACATATGTATGTAGCGAAGTACATGGGTCTAATAATACGAGGTTGCTGCACGTCATCGTCTGACTATCAATTTCCTTTGCAAACCTGACTTGTAAATGTTCAATTCGACTAAATTGAACAGCAAGATCTTACGTTGATTTTGTGAACAAATACCTAGGTTACACACTTTCGAACCTGATTTACTTGGTCAGTCATAGGTATGTTCTTTGTCTGAAACGAATAGTAAAAAGTCCGATATGTTGCACAAGTCGCAGCATTAAAACCCGTTTATTCTTAGAAGTTGCGATTAATGAACCGATCGAAGAGATTTTAGCTTGGAGAACGGGGACTTGATCCGCATAGAGATGGGGCGCAGTGAGTGTCTTTTGACAGGGGTATGATGAAATAGCCTTTTATGATTGGATCGATCTGCAGCCACTCAGGAACTCCACTCTTAGTATAAGGACCCAAGATGGGAAAGCAGGGAACGCAAGGATGGGGCCAAGATGGGGCCGTGGCGTTGACAGCCTAGACCTTGTAGCACACTACTAAGAATCGGCAAGCGCCATTGGCCAGATTATTGATTTCGGCGCATCCTTGCCAGGAACAAGCGTACATACCTATACATAGGTACCTACATTTGATAGTTCCTCATACCAGGCTGTCAGGGCCTAATGGAAGAAACAACAAAAATACTTCCAAGTCCACGTCCTATTTTTATTACGTGTCGGTACAAGTATCATGCCATCTGCCCATGTCACCACATGTCTTTCTCTTTCTTAAGTACCTTAGGTAGTCTTTCTTGGTTTACATTCACTTTTCATTTTCTTCTTGCAACCAATCTTGACTAGACCTACACTCGCTTTTACTTAGCTCTATCTTTGCTTTGCTTTGCTGCGTCAGGCCGACTTTCTCTCTTTTCAGCCTGAATCACTGCACTTACCTGACCCTCCAGCTGTGGCCACCTAAATAATTTCGTAGCCCGGGAGAACAGAAACTTTTATTTAAGTCGAGAAATCCTAAGCGTTCTCAACATCACCTAGGAACATTCCAAATACTCGGTATATCTTCCTAATACCTAAGTCGACCACCATGCACGCCGTCGCTTCTCTTCTTGCCTTGGCCTCCACGGCCTCGGCCATCCAGGGATTCAACTATGGCTCTACCTTTACCACAGGTGCTGCCAAGCAACAGTCTGACTTCGAAAACGAGTTCACTACCGCTCAAAACCTTAAGGGTACTTCTGGTTGGACCAGCGCTCGTCTCTACACTATGGTGGTAAGTGCAAGAACCAGTAACAAAATCCTATTTTAAACTGTTTATCTAACTTTTTGCGTGTGACTTTAGCAAGGCGGAACTGCTTCTGATCCGATCTCTGCCATTCCTGCAGCCATCAAGACAAAGACCACTCTTCTTCTCGGTCTTTGGGCGTCTGGGGGAGACACTTCATTCGCTAACGAACTTCTCGCCTTGAAGGCCGCTATCAAGCAGTACGGAGATGATTTCGTCAAGATCGTAGATGGTATTTCTGTGGGTAGCGAAGATCTATACCGAAACTCGCCAATGGGAATCGCAGCTGGCTCCAACGTTGGTACCGGCCCCGAGACCATTGCTCGCTACATCAAAGAGACGAAGGATGCCCTTTCTGGCACTGGCTTAGAGGGAACCCCTATCGGTCACGTTGATACCTGGACTGCTTGGTACAACGGTACCAACCAGGCTGTTATTGATGCTTGTGACTGGGTTGGCATGGACGCTTATCCTTACTTCCAGGACACGATGACCAATGACATCTCTAAGTCCAAGTCTCTATTCCAGGAAGCATTCGACAAGACTCAGCAAGCTGCTGGTGGAAAGACGGTTTGGATTACCGAGACGGGTCACCCAGTCAGCGGCAAGACTGTTGGGCAATCTGTTGCCTCGACGGACAACGCTGAGACTTTCTGGAAGGATGTCGTTTGCCCTCTGCTCTCGAGCAAAACGAACCTGTGGTACTACACTCTACAGGACGCTGCCCCTGATACTCCCAGCCCCAGCTTTGGTATCGTCGGTAACAAGCTCACCACCACACCCCTCTTTGACCTAAGCTGCGACAATTCCAACTCTGGTTCTTCCTCTTCCTCCTCATCTGCTTCTTCTGCCAGCCCCTCATCTACCGGTAAGGGTGGCTCATCCTCGACTGCTTCCGGATCCGGTGCTTCAACCACTAGCTCTGTTGGAAACTCCGGTGGCAGCCCAGGTGGTGTGCCTAGTGGCCAGATCTCCAGCGAGGAGTCTGCTACCGTGACGCCTACGGCTATTAGCCCGATCTCGACTGGTACAGGCTCCAGCGGCTCTGGTTCAGGTGCTAATGGCACCTTTACTGCGCCACCCGCCGCCACATCTACCATTCCCGCTAGCGGCGCCAATGGTCTGCAATCCGGCGCTTTCGCCGCTGCTTTCGGAGCTATTATGGCCGCTATTTATGCTCTATAAACGGTGATATCGATGACGACCTACCGATTTTTTACTTTAGGGCTGGTATAGTGATCGGCGTTATGAAAAGGTCACGCCGATATTGAAGGATGGGTTAATTGTACTCTAAAGGCAGAGGAAGCGATGCTTGAACCAGGGATACTCGGACATAGAGGTTTTTATGAACAAAATAAATCCCTTGGGAGGGAGGGACAAAACGGTACTAGACCCAGGCACCACATTAAACTTTGTAATGTTCTCTCGATAAAAGCAGAGAAGGCCACTCGCCGTCAACTTCATGACACATAATTGATCTTTATTTTTCACCTTTTTTCACCCGGGGGCTTTCCTTCATGACTTGGCGATTAGTTTTCATAATGAGAATCTCGTCATGGGAATTGTAGTTGGCGTAGGTCAGCTGCTTGATCATCGCGATACGCTTAGGCTGTGTGTGACTTTTTTGAAGAAGGCCTCCTAGCTATATGAACCTAGTATCAGCCCGCTTCTTAAGCAGAGATTCTCAGTATTATATCTATCCTACCTAAATTCGCTTGACTGGGCGCGGGTTGCTTAGCAATCGCCATGCTATAGCGTAAAAGTAGCGACCTCTGTCAACTAAGTTGGTGTTAGATCAGGAAAGCTTTATGGATTGGAGCCGGTGGAAGCTCGAATATATTAATGTAAATAACTTTATTGCCGATGCTACTCTGTACGAGTTCACGATAGTTTATTATCCTACTCAAATCGAAATTACGGTTAAGCTTCACATAATAAGCGCCCTTTATTTTCTCTAGTATAGTTTTCCCAACTGTTGGTTATAGAATGTGAAGGACATACATAAGATGGATTATCATTCAATGGGTCTTTTTACAGAAGGCTAGGGATGAGAGTCAGCAATCAAAGCTTATTGTCATAGTTATCATGATATAACTTGTATAGGAAGACTGTAGTTAGACTAGACCGGCACAGTATAACTACGACTTACTGTTATTAAGTTACAGATATTGCGAATACTTCATAAAGAGAAAGAAATTCTATAAATCTACTTAACTGTACGATAACACCTAGAAGCCCAAATTATCAAATATTCAAGTGTAGGTGTATATATATATATATATATATCAAAAACATACCTACCAATTCTGACCTTGATGACGATGGTATACACATGTATATACTAAGACGAGGCTCACGGCAATCGACCCCAGGATCGCCCTTCCCAAATACACATCAATCAATCAATCAATCAGCTCGACGCAACCCACGCTAAGCATCCCAAAACGGCAGGACGACGGGAGAGAGTGGGGACAAAGTTGGAAATAGGTCCCGCTCCGCGAAGCACGTCAACTAACGCCTATCTAACGACATCGTTCTAAGGGTCCGGTAGGGCTGTATTTCAGATCCCCGGGCCACGAACTGCCCAATCGGTCATTTTACTGCTTGGCTTGCTTTTAGGACGTACGGAGTTATTTACTGTCGGGTACCTGCGTGCAGCAGAAGCCGCATCTTCGGATGACTTGGGATAGCTGCGGGTCTCCACCACACTTTGAGGCTCAACTACATAACATCTTGCGTAACCTACCTCGTGCATACATGTACGAAACTTACATGTAGGTAGTCAATAATGTTAGTGGTCCATAGGTAGCTTTTATATTTACACCGAAGTCTATTACGTCTAATGGCTTAAAAGTTTCGACATCACCCAATCACTCATGATTAAGCAAAGTATCCAAACCAAAGTAATTATATTATTATTTTAGAGGTCGTCGAGATATGCAGATACTGACCCCCAAGATATTGCACGTTGAATAATGTAAAAGCGAACCGGTACCTTAGTATGAGCCATTTATATCCATAAGCGCGCCGGAGGATATCGTTATACCTAAGCTACCTCCCCCCTTTTCTTTTTTAAATCCCTTCCCTGAACCGTGCCTTAAACGCCAAGCTAATCATCCAAGTAACACCATTTTCGTTGACCCATTTCGTGGTCATATATACCCAAAAATAAGACATAAATCATCAAATGTCGTCGTGAAGAGAGATAGCTATTATTGTATGACTTGTAGCTGGAAGGTCTATAGCTCGTTATCGTTTGTCTCGGTAGTCGTCACAATAACACGGTGCTCCTTAATCATCGCTCCGGTCTCCTCCGAAACGGTCTCGTTACGTTCTCGCTTAACTGCAAAACACTGGAAAGCGCCAATTACGGCGACAAGAGCACTGCCGTACCATGCGAGACCAGTACAGTCAACCTGCGACCCAATTGAGTATAGATAACCAGCCACAGGCGGGGCTATCATACGGCAAGCGGCTCCAGCGCTGGCTGCGAGGCCATTCACTTTGCCAAGTACGGACGAGCTAGGAGTGGCGTCCTTGATAAGGATGAGGAGTAGAGGATATAAGATGATAGCGAAGAAGTTTCTGACGGTCAAGCAAAAGTAAATCCCGGGGTATAGGAGTGAGTCTGGCACATGGACCAGGGCAGGGACAATGACATAGGCAATCGGGTGGAAGACGGTAACAATAATAAAGAGCCTGAAAACGCCGATCTTTTCGGCGGCTATGGGGAAGATGATAACTTGAACTAAGAGTGCAATAGCTCCATTAATCGCCATTACAAACCCTACGGACTGCATGGATAGGCCCAAGCCACCGGGTGAGTAAAGGGGATTAAATTTGGAGAAGAACCCTTCTTCTGGAGCATTGTTGATGGGAACTTTATCATCCTCAAAGAATATGGGGAGGAGATGGTCGTAAGTCATCGAGTGGTAAGTAAAGATAGAGAGCGCAATGACTAGAGCCATGATGCGCTTAGTGAAGATGGTGAAGTCGCCCTTCTTTTCTGGCACTTTCGAGGAAATCGCATCGCGGCTGAATTCGCCGCTTTCTCTGTTCCGAAAAGTTCCGTACGTCTCAGAACGTAGATCAATAGCCGGTTGCTTAATCGCATCTGAAGTTTCTATGAGGGGAGTCTCGTCGGAAACATAGGTGTCATCGGGTAGCATAACCCGTGGAACCATATCAGGGTGCGTTTCTTCGAGCAAGAAATATCCCAAGCAAATGCTAATCATTAGAAGAGCAGCACAACAGAGATTGGGAAGGAGATAAGGGAAGTTTGCGAATAATGTGCCTGTCGGGAACGTATCGGGCCAAGACTTATGGGGGTCTGCTAGCATCCCTCCGATTGCTGGTCCAATGATTGTTCCGATGGACCAGACAAATGGCATCACGGAATAAGCGCGAGCTACGACATTAGCATGATTTTTTATAGCTAGTTGAAGTGAATTTGGTAATTTGGTGGTTAAACTTACGCTCGTGTTCGGGTTTACTGACCAGCTCGCCAACCATGGTCTGGATAACTGCGATGTTTCCATTCAGGAGTCCGCCAAGTGCTCGACCGATCAAGGCAATCCAGAGGTTGGTAGCAAATCCCACCATAACCATGCTGAACATAGTTCCAATACATCCTACAAGGAGCACAGGCTTTCGACCGATTCTATCAGACAACCCGCCCCAAAACATCCCCATCAGCGCCTCGGCAAGGGCGAATGATGAGATCTGAAGGAGTCAGTAACAGTTATTTATATATCCTAGAAATACGAAATTCACATACAAGGAGACCGGCATAGAACGAGGCATCTTGCTCGTTGCCGATTTTAAACCGCTTGACTAAGGCCCAGGCATAGGGAAAGATGGAGGTGAGGGCGATAGGCTCGGCTAGACGAACGATAGCTAATAGAAACAGCTGAATAGTCGGGAAGTCATCGGGATTTCGAGGTGATCTCTGCTTTGTTAGGACCATTGCTTCGCAACTTGGTATCGATCTTACGGCTAGCTGACACAACACTTGGCGCGTAATCTTGAGCTGGTAAATACTAGAGCAAGAGGACAAGCGTCAAGTGATGCGGCGGCAGGCAATGCCTTCTATTTCCACCAGAAATGCTACTTTTGCGAGAAGTTTTCTGCACGATCTCTTTTTATCTGTTTTTTTAATCCACGCCACCAGATATTGTAAACCCGATAGAGGAGGGTAACAATGGGCTGAGAACGAGTACGTATATAAGTATAAGACCCTGAACCGAGAATATGATAAGTGAATATGATAAGTGAAAGTAGCTTGCATGTGCAGTTTCTGCATGAGAAAAGGGAAGTCGTAAGATAGGGTAGGGTAGGGTGGGCAGAGAAGAACAAGGAGGACCGCATCAGAGAAATATACTAGGAATCGGAGGTTGCTACACTACCTAAGAGAGGAAAATGTGGAGATGCGATGCACTAATAATGTTAATAATGTTTTAAAGGTTCCTCAACTGTGGTGGACCTGCCGTGGGTTCCTAAGCTAGTATTACTAGAGGGGCAGTCTAGGTAACCTTATTACATAGTAGTGACCAAATCATACTTGAGTTTGAGGAAACTCCATAACTACGCCAAATATACGTAGACAACCAAGATATCATCGTCAGTTCCACCGGCTTCATCCACAACTTGCGGTAAACTGGTTCAACCAAAATCGACTCACTGCCAACATTCGATTCGTCTATTGTTGAAACACGTACCTACCTAGGAATTGCCTACATTCCAATCCTTCTCCTTACTCTGCACAGTTCCTATCCACATGTTTAACAAAGTCGGCGCCTCTACATGCGTCGGCAAGATGTCGATCTCACAGTCGGTATGTAGTATACAGTAAAGAACAGATGGGCCGTCCGGGCAATGGCCGAAATGATCAACAAGGCACTAGCCGGGTGATAACTGCAACAAAGTCAGTTTTGGCGGTCTGAGAGGTGACAAGCCATGCAGTCAGCAGTCTGCCTATACTATTTCTCCATATCATCCAAGATCATATCATCTAGTTAGATGGATCATCCCCTACTGTGTTGTTGTGTAGAAGCTGTTGATGCACGCTTGTCACCTTGTTGGTTCCCGCTGCAAAATACGCTATGCAATGCAGAAGGCAAAAACGTTGCATCGAAAATGGAATGACATCTTGATACTAGGGCCAGGTAAGGTGTGTAGATGGAACCTAGAACCTTGCGATCTACGGTCAGCAAAGCGGGCCAATCATTTTATACGGATT